TGCGGAAATTTAAATTTGTGTCAAGCGTGATACCTAGATATTTTATATTGTCTGTTTTTGTTAATGCGGAACATACACATGCAGTGTCATTATACGAGTTACAATTATGAGTGTAAATATTTAGGTGAGTAGGTATGTTATTTTTTTTTTTCATTAAAAATAACATATATTGTGTTTTATCAGCGTTTAAACGTAGGAGATTATTAAGAAACCAATTAGATAATATGTTAAAGCCTTGCTGAGCTTATTTATAAACCTCATCTCGTGATTTAGCTGAGAATAACAGGGCTGTGTCATCCGCATACGACATTATGACACCATTTTGAAGTTGAAGATTGCATAAGTCATTTATATAAATTAGGAACAATGTAGGCCCCAGGATACTGCCCTGTGGGATTCCATAAGAGCTGTTTTGTAATTCAGTACTTGTATACTTACCGATTTTTACACATTGAAAGCGATCACTGAGGTAATCAGAAAAAAATTGTAATTGAGTTCCCCTTATGCCAAGTGTTTCAAGCTTTTGCAATAGTATAGGGCAAGAAATAGTATCAAATGCTTTGACAAGGTCTAAAAAGATCTCAATCGAGTGCATACCGTTGTCAAGATTACTTGTGACGAAATCTGTCAATTGGTGCAAGGCATCATTACATGATCTCTTAGGCCTGAAACCAAATTGTCTGTCTGACAGCAAGTTGTTAGTTTCCAGGTATTTTATTAACCTGGTATTTATGATCTTTTCTAAAATTTTAGATAAGCCAGATAAAACTGAAATCGGCCTATAGTTACTAACTAAGTTTTTATCACCATCTTTGTAAATTGGAGAAACCACTGCTTTTTTAAGCACTTTCGGGAAAATACCATTTGATAGGCATAATTGAAAGATATGTGTTAACGGGGCGGCCAGTAAATGTTTAAATCTTTTGAGTATGCGATTAGGTATGTTGTCCCATCCAACTGCACAATCTTCTTTTAAGCCAGATATTATACTTAAAATCTCATCAATATCGGTATTTAACAATACAAAAGAATTTAACTTAGAAAAGGATGTCGGCATAAAAGGTTGTCTCTGCTATTTTTTTTGCCAACATTACTAAAATAATTATTTACTTTATTAGTTGCTTCGTTTGGGCTTTTGTCTAATGACAGTAGATCAAGTGGGGGTTCAAGATTTTTTGAACTGAAGGTATTATTTTTAATGAACTTCCATACAAGTTTACTGTTTTACCGGCCTTTTGTAAAACATTTTTATCATATTGTATTTTGAGGTTTTTTAATAGTTAATGCAAAAATTCCTATATCTTTTATAAGTAGCAGAAAGTATTAAATCATCAGGAGAAAGTTTAGACTTTAAATGAAGTTTGTCTCTATTTCTTATACAGCGAACGAGACCAGGTGTTATCCAAGGTTTAATATTATAATACTTACGTGACAGTTTTATTGTTCATGTATTATTTATTATTGCGAATTGTAAAGAATTTATAAAGTAATTCAAGGTCGTATTTGCATCGTCAGAGTAATAAACAAAGTCAAAATTAATGCTACGAATGTCATTTTCAAGGTTCGTCATATGGACTTTAGTGTAGTTGCGTATGCAGTTTTTCCTAGGTAAGGCTAATTGTAATGTTAGTAAAATTGCTTGATGATCAGTAAGCGAGGAATTAGTAACTAATGTAAAGAAGGTTTATTTGATTTAATCACAAAATGGTCTAAACAAGAGCCGCTTTGATATGTAGGGTGGTAATGTGTTGGTAATAGCCCATGAAAAGAGCAAATATTTATGTTGGTATGTGCATGGTTATCTGTTTACTCAGGGGTAATGTTAATATTTATGTCACCGGTTAGGATTATATTTTTATATGTGCTAAGTTTGTTTAAGGTAATATCGAGTGACTCTAGAAATCTATCAATATTTTGTGAAGGAGGTCTGTAAATTCCGATAACAATCGTCTCGGAATTAATTCGAATGATTAAGCAATTACTATCTTTTTTTTTTTTTTTTTTTTTGCGGATGGAAAATCATCATATGACGCCTTTCGCTCTGTGTGGAGCGAAGGGAGTGTTAGACTTTTACTGACTAAAAACCATCCGTGTTCCTTCAGTGCCCATACGTTCCGGAGCCGCGGTATCTCTTTCGAACAGCCCGCAGCCCCGGCAGGCGTCGGCCCTTGCGGGCCCCTTCACGCTGCTGACAGCTCTTTGAGGTGCGCGTGGAACAAAACGCGCCGTCGACACGGCCTGTCGTCGTTAGACGGACGGACGGCGAGCTACCCATTGCTCGCCGTCCACAGGCCCGCGCCTACGGTGGCCGGGGGCCACGACGTAGCCCCCGACGCCCGGGGCGTCTCCCGCGGCGGCCGGGAAGGAAAGCTGCTGCTCTCTCCTTCTCCCGCTCCGCCACCTCCTTCGCTAGCATCACTGCTTCGCAGAAGGTGGTGACGGCATCCCATTCCGTCTCGCTCCGGACCATGGCTTCGACCAGGGCCGGACGCGAGAGGTCGCCGCCGCCTATCGCCGCTACGAGGACACGGCGGTGCTCCGCCCAGGCAGGGCACACCTCCACGGTGTGCTCCACCGTGTCCTCCGGTCGATCCTCGCAGTGGGAGCACCCGGGCGTCTCCTCCCGCCCGATTCGGTGCAGGAACCTCCCGAACACACCGTGTCCGGTGAGGACCTGCGTCAGGCGGAAGGTGAGGACGCCGTGGCGTCTCTCAAGCCACTCCTCAAAGAGGGGTCTTATCGCCGCTATAGTGGCGTGCCCAGCACGGGGTTGCGACAGTCGCTCTCTCCATGTCGCCATGAGATCATGCCGGAAGTCTGTCCGCTGCACGACAACTTGCCGCGGCAGCGGGGTTTCCCCCCGGCATAGTGCCTCCGCGCGCCATTCGTGCAGGCGCGCGAGGACTATCGCCTCCAGATCCCATGGCGGCAAGCAATTACTATCCTGGAATGTAGGTTCTGTGACAGTTACTTTTAAATTATTTTTAACATAGATTACTAAACCGTCATTTTGATTAATGTTTTTCTCGGTTTTGTGTAAAGAATAGCCATTTAGAATCGGTAGGTGGGGTGAGAGGTTTGACAGCCAACATTCTGTAAGGATAATAATATCACATTTTATATCCAGTCTATGCAATAAAACTTAAACCCGGTTATATTCCGATTTATGCTTCTAATATTTTGTGTAAGTAAGATTAACTTATTTTCAGGACGTGGAAGGACGTGTTTACAGTCATCAACATTACATGTTTTAGCGTCAGACACAGAAAAGTAGTCTAGGTCATTGAGTAATTGATTCGCCATACATAAGCTTAAAGATAAACTAAAACTAGTGTTTGAAAGCTAAGTAAATAATATAATACGCAACTCTGTTAGGCGCCCTCATAGTCTCTGGAGTTGATATATTTGTCCTCTGCGAATTTACGTGCTGGACAGCTTTCATCACCAGTTTTGTGGTCGCATTTTCTTTTAAAACGTTTACACGTCGCGCAAACGGGGCATGCGCTTTGTTATTACATTCCTTAAAGGAATACCCGAGCTCTCCACAGTAGTTACATGTAGGGCTACTTTCCCGACAAAATTTGGCTGAATGACCAAACTGCTGGCAGTTGAAGCATCTTGTTACTATTGTAAAGTCTCTGACTGGGCATGAGGTCCAATTAATATATATTCTTCCTTGATTGATAAGGGCCTTCCTGATGCTAGGTGACACTTCGACAATGTAATTACAGGTAGGAAGATTTTTCTTACCTGATTTATGGCTCAGTTTGACTGTTGCCAGGAAGGACTCACGCGTGGCATTGGGAAATTTATCGGCAATATTTTGTTCGAAAATGCACTCGAACACTTCTTTATCCGTGAGGGCTACAGGGACACCAACAATTGCAATTCGTGGACGTCGTTTAGTCGGCTCCTCCATGGTAAGGCCAGAAGATACAAGCTTCTCGGAGTGCTTTAATTTGTCGATATCTCCTTTTGTCTCAGCGCTAATTATAACTCCCTCATTTTTGACCTTCCTCATGCCCCGGACATGTAGTTTGAGTTCTTCTGGGGATATTATTTTTTGTAAGAGGCACTTCGTGTCATCACTGGTTTTGGACTTGTCTCTCGGATAAATTGCTAGGGTACTAAGGTTGTTTGGGCGAATGAGGGTTTGGCCACCTTTTTTGACCATGTCCGCAAAAGTGGTTCCAGAGTCCGGTTTTGATGACTCTTCGATACTATTCTTGAGTTCCTGCAGCTTTTGGGACAGGTCAAGTTGGTTCTGCAGAGATACGATGGAGGTTTGGGCTTTAGTGGCATCCATTTTGATGGACATGTACTGGACTACCAATTGTGATGTACCGTGGCTTACTTTTCGACAAAGCGAGCTAATGCGCATTTTTTGATCAGAGTTAAGTTTTCCATCTGTAGCGATGGAGCACACCTCGTTAAAGCACAGGTCAATGCTTGTCATCCAATGCTGCAACTCAGGAGTTGGAAGTGTTTTAATTGGTTCGCTTGAAGTGGGTGTCTGCATGGGCGGGGTGCGAATGGTCCTGGCACTCCCGTTGAAGACACTGTTCTCCATTTTAGTACCTATTCTAGAAACATTTCAACAAAATTACTAACACAAATATAACTAAAGTATGTCACAGTTACTACCGGTATTGTTATAACGAGGTCACGGATAAGCACATACTTATTTAATTATTTTAATTATTATATGACACGTCTGTACACAATAACGTGCACTTACGAACTCCTCGAAGATAATAATGCTGACAAAGATGACTACTTAGACAGTGATGCAGAGATGAGAGAAATTGAAATGCTAGATTCAGATTAATACTTTTTCTTTCATGGTTCTTTTGAAAATAAATACTATTTCAAAAATATTTGTTTTGCTCTCCGTGCCCGTTTGAATTGACAACTATGACGTCACAATATGGCGCCAGGTTAGTCTTATTTTTGTTTGTATCGCATAGTAGTTAAAACGTGTGATATGTACGTATTTGCAGGTGGATCCGAAGGTGCGGGACCTGTATAGCAAGTTCGAGCGGACGTGCGTGTGGTCGCTGGTGGAGAGCGTGCGCTCGGACGCGTGCGCGCCCGCCGCCGTGCCGACGCACACTGAGGCCGCGCCGCGCACCGATGCGCCGCCGCGCACAACAATCGCGCTCTTTACGCCGCACGACGCACACGCACTGGTATGTATAACACCGCACACACGCACTCGTATATATAGCACCACACACACGCACTCGTACGTATAGCACCGCGCGCATGCACTCGTACGTATAGCACCATGCACTCACAAAGTAACAAGTAAGGCTTAGTTTAGTATATGCAAAAAAAATTACCTAATTATTTATTAAATTTTGCTTTCAGATAACATTCCTGAAAAGAATCTCATCAAAGTTAAACAACAACACACCGAGTCTCACATCTGAAGAATCAATTGGTCCTGGATCAGTAGTGGACGCCGCTGGATTTAGGTATATAACTATTAGTTGTACCTATTACTATAATACGTGAGGCCAGCGAAGTATACTCTTTTAATCATGAACAAAATCAACAGGTTAACAATGCCTAAGATATTACGTTATATACATAAAGGGGTTATTGTGAAATTGATCACCCAATCCTATTTTTGAATTTGACTAAAAATAGTTCAATACCAAAGCCCAATTCCATAGGTATCCCGTTTGTCTAGCAATAAAGTGTAAAAACGTATTTTGGTAGTAGCGAGGGAGGCGAGGGTGGCGAAGGTGAATGCAGTGAGGGCGTGGCGAGGTTAGCGGCGCGGCTGCAGACCGTGGAGCCCAACTACCGCGCGCGACTGCACGACCTGCTGCGCAAGCTGCCCGACCTGCCCGCGCTGCTCGCCTGCAAGTACGTGCCGCACACACACACACACACACACACCACACACACACACACACACACACACACACACACACACACACTAACGTGTAGTGTACGAAGTACAGTGCATTACGTCAGAGCGTATAATTTGGGTCAGCATTTACACTCTGACCCAAGTTTTATTATCGCAATGACTAATAAGTACGAGTATGTTCTACTATCGCCTAAAAATTAAGATTCCAACGTTTTATCGAATAAAATCGTATCTAACAATCATATTATACATATAAATGATATAAAAAGCACATTGTTAGAATGATAAATGATTGTTGAACTTATTAATATTTTTTTTAATCGATTAATTGCTATTTTTAAGTAAAAAAAGGGGTTTTAGTGGATTATGGTGTGGATTTATCATGCCCCCATGGCTTGTAAACACAATAACTTTTGAAAATATCAATTAACTCAATCTATTTTTTAATCTCTTCATCTATCATGTGGGAAGCCACTGAATGTAAATGGCAGTGTAATTTTGTTTTGTTTAGCTATAATTAATATTTTTCGGCTCCAAAATGGTGAAATTTTCTTTGATTTGGTAGCCTTGTATGTAAATTATTTCTGTAAATGGGGAGCTACAGCTACAGCATGTGGGAGTAGTTTACTCCCACTCAGTTTGGCGTCAATCGCCGTCGTGAGTGGATACTGTTTCGGTTGTTTGCAGCGGCTCAATAAGATCGCTGTATAAATACACAATATTCGAATAACCAAATTTCTTAAATACTTGATTATAATAATAATAAGAGATTTTTTTTATTACAATATTTTAAAAGCACAGAATATATAACAGTAGTACGTACTAAAAGTAAGTAGTATCAATTTTTTCATCATGGGTGTCATTTTCATGGTTTTTGAGAGAGTTGAAGCTGATAGGATTGTCGAAATGTCATTCTCATGGTTTTCGCGGGTGTTGAAGCCGATAGTGCTGTCGAAATGTAAATCCAAGATGGCGGCTGCAATAGGTATCAATTTTTTCATCATGGGTGTCATTTTCATGGTTTTTGAGAGAGTTGAAGCTGATAGGATTGTCGAAATGTCATTCTCATGGTTTTCGCGGGTGTTGAAGCCGATAGTGCTGTCGAAATGTAAATCCAAGATGGCGGCTGCAATAGGTATCAATTTTTTCATCATGGGTGTCATTTTCATGGTTTTCGAGGGTGTTGAAGCCGAGAGTGCTGTCCAAATGTATTTAAACTATAACCATGTTATACGGAATTTTTTTAATGCGCTTAAGGTATGCCCAATTCGATTTACCAATATATTTTATTTAATTTTAAATTTTATCTTTGCTTTTTTAATTACTTCCGTGTTGTACCATTTTTAACCGAATATAGAGGGCACTCACTACAAACATACATGTAACACATATGTTAGTAGTGTGTATCTGTGTGTAGCATCATAGTTCCTGAACGAATGAACCAATTTTGATTGTTTTTTATTTTCGTTTGAAAGGTTAGGACACCTATCGAGGGTATTCTTAGCTATATTTCAAGAAAATCGAATAGACCGTTTGAAGATCACCAGCTTTTTGTTTTTCGGAGGTTTTTAAAAATTTTATTTTAAGTTATTACCAATTACAGTAGGACCTCGATAATCTAAATAACATTTACACCCTGTTCGGATTATAGTATGTAGATATTTTATAGAGGTGTTTTTTGAAATGAAACATAGATTTTATAATTGATAATTTATTGTTGTTTATTTAAAAACCCCTCGACCGATTTCGATAAAAGTTTAATGGGACCACCTGTGAAGTATACCCTTTGAAATTTGAATATTTAAGAGAAAACTGTTATAAGCTGATGAAGGAGTGCTATAATAAATACATAAATGTAATAAAAACAGATATTAAAACCAACCCCTAACTATTTTGGACACATCGAAAATCTACAAAAGAACTGCTCATCATATCCTAATACCTAATACCTTTAAGCATTACATCATCAGATACAAAACTAATAACGGAATGTTTGCATCTCATTTTTCTTCAATATTTGAAAGAGATCTTAACGACAACAATTCAAGTAATATTTACACAGGATTCATTGCTAATTCCTTTGATGTTATCGGGGAAATTCAATTTAGACCAGAGGATGTTAAAAATAAACTAAAAAAGCTGGATGTCACAGGCCCAGACAATATACATATACTACTTTTAATAAACAGTGCAGATGAGTTGACTTTTTCACTAACTTTTCTATACAATCGATCTCTCAAAATGGGCATATTCCCTGATGAATGGAAACTAGCTAGAGTAGTACCTATATTTAAGAATGGAGCACAAGACTTAGTAGTTAACTACCGTCCAATAGCTATCTTGTCAGCAGTATCGAAAGTATTTGAGTCATTAGTTCACTCTGTAATTTATCGGCATACTCAAAAATACATAATCGAAAATCAGCATGGTTTTATGTCAAGAAGGTCGACCAACGCTAACCTTATTCTCTTCACTTCTGATATAAAAGAAAAAGTAGATCAAGGCTTACAAGTTGACGCCATCTATACATATTTTTCAAAAGCCTTTGAAAAAGTGAACCACAGCATCCTGATTCATAAATTATATTTATTTGGAATTACAGATAACCTACTGAAATGGTGTAAATCTTACATTTTAAATCGCTTTTCCAGGGTGGTAATTGATGGTGAACAATCGAGGCTATTTGAAGCATTTTTAGGAGTATCCCAGGGCTCGACTTTAGGACCGTTAATCTTTAACATCTTTGTTAATGATATAACACGTGTGATTAACCACAGCGATGTATATCTTTTTGCTAACGACCTTAAAATCACGAAAATGGTATCAACAGCTTTAGACATTAATAATCTTCTGGAATGGTGTAACAATAATAAAATGTTCCTAAATGCTGCGAAATGCTGTCACATTAACTACAACAGAAAACGTAATAAATTTCAGTCGAAATACACAATAGCAGGCACAGTTGGAAGAAGTGACTATTATTCGAGATCTTGGTGTCATAATGGATAGCAATTTGAAGTTTTCGGACCATATTGACAAGATAGTGAAGGAAGCAAATAGGTCGCTAGGTTTTATATTGAGAAACTCAAGGGATTTTAAAAAACCAGCAAGTGTCATTCAGCAAGTGTCATTCAGCTTTGCAACAGTTTTGTAGGGAGCAAGCTCGAGTATAACAGCACAGTATGATGCTCTACTTATAAAACTCACACAGACAGGATTTAAAAAGTTCAGAAGAAAGTAATTCGTAACTTAACCTACCGTTTTGGTACTCCAAGAAATATCAAAACCCGTAGTGAAAAAATTAAGCATTTTCAAGTAGAGCCCCTTTCCTTACACCGAAATCACTTAGACATGTCACTCCTACATAAAATTAAGTAAATAATCACATAGACTCTGTCCCTTTATTGTCCAAATTCCAATTTAACGTACCATCCAGAATACCAAGATATCCGTGCAGTCTTTTTAAGAACAAATTTTGTAGGACAAACTTGGGTCGTGACTCCCCAGTGATCCGTATATCTCGTCTGTACAATAAGCTCACCAAAAATATACCCGATCTTGAAATTTACTATGATGCCCTCACTCAATTTATGACCAAACTTAAGCATGTTGACCTACGTTGAAACTGCGATTGTACAAATCAGCTTATATTTATTTTCCTTTTATTTTTTAGTCAACATAATTTTATTAAATTTGTTTATTTTTTTGTAACACAACGCATGCTGTGATTGCCTATAATTATAAGAGCAATTGATAATGTAAAATTTATGTTACTGTTATTGTAACCAAATATTTCTTGTTGTTTCTTATGTTGGCAATCCAAATAAATAAATAAAAAATTCATAGCGAGGAAGTTAATTTGATAGAAAAATGTAAAGGTTAATGTTTTTTTCTGTAATATTAGTTATATTTTATATTAATTATGTTATAGATGAAATAAGCAAACTGCGGATATTCCTTAAAGTAGAAAAATTGAAAAAGAAGTTAAAAATGTGCAAAAAAGTTAAAGAGCAAACCACTGAGGCATTGTTTTGTGTATTAATTTAATATTCTAGACAATTTAAAAACTATTATTTAAATTTAAATTTTCAATTAAACAACATTGTTTAACAAAAAACTTCACTTCAGTTCCAGTAGCGACATCTGGTGAGCGGAAGATTATTAGCTCATTGATTAACTCTCAAAGTAGTACGAAAAAATAGGCGCTAGATGGCCTAAACACGACTAATCTGTACAAATAAATAAAATTGAAGGGTCTGTTTGTAATGTTAAAATAACAGGTTTTTACTAAATGCATATGAAAGTATATACGGTGCTTATAACAAAAACACAATTTTTAGAATTTTTCTATGCCTGTTTGTTCCGGCTTATCTCTGAAATAGCTGGACCGATTTTGACGGGACTTTCACTGGCAGATAGCTGATATTATAAAGAGTAACTTGGGCTACTTTTATTTTAGAAAAATAATTAGGGTCCCGCGCAAAAATATTAAAACCCGTGTGAAATCCAAGCGATATAAATTACATGCGCAGCTATTTTCATATAATATTCTATCTCATTCTCTCGTAGCCTAAATCATATATATGTATATGTTTGTCTCATTTTAGTTTCGATTTTTCGTTTCGTCGAGTTTCAAATCACAACGATTCCAAAGAAGTTTTCACTTCAATAAATTAAAGTAAAAACTTTTTAAGGGCGGCTGTTAATTAAGAGTTAATAATCAGTAAAAGCACTCTCACATTCATAACGCATCTGCATCGGTTGGGCATACTCAGTATGACGTTGTCAATATTCTGTTGAGGAATATTGTGCCAGGTCTTACTGTGATGCATAAAAAGTTGTTCTTCTGTTACCAAATATTTAGGAAAATCGCTCAGAGTTCTTGTTTGACCGTATCCCTAGCTTGCTCAATGGGATTTAAATCTGATGATTGCGCTGGCCATTCTAGGGCCGTAACATCATGTTAGTGCAACCAGACTGTTGCTGCCCTGGCCTTATGTGAACAGGTATTGTCGTGAATAAGCAGGAAATTTTGACCCATTTGTGTTTGATGAGGCAAGACTGTTGATTCTAGCACCTAATTACGGTATTTTTCAGCCGTCATATTGCCCTGTATCCTATATATAATTGTACCACCTTGGTGTGGATGAACTTCTTAAGGGTGTTGGAGCCGGCTTGTACGACCAGGAACTCTCCAAACACGTACTTTCCTCGAATCAGGATGTAAACGAACTCGGGATTCATCGGTGAAAAACAAAAACGACCATTGATGAGGTTCCCAGTTTATATGTTCTCTGAGCCATTGCAATATTCCTCCACTATTTTAACGGTGGTAGAGCCACGCAGCAGTTTTTGCTGTTGCATGTATGGGCCGGCTCGTAGAAGCTTTGCTTCTGCGTTTCGTCTGGTGAGTGCAGGTGGCCGGAGGCCCAATGCCCCCCCCCCCCCCATCAACATGGTAGCGGAATTACACGAAGAACTACCCCAGGAGGGTACCAGCACCCCTGGAGAATCCCTCGCTGAGCATCCACGACCATGTTATTCCGATCCTGAGCGTGGGTGCTCAGGCTGCCCCGCGTATTCTGGGGGGGGGCAAAATTCCGCTCAAAAGCATTACTGCTAGGGGCAAACTGAGCAAGAACACCAAGGCGACCCCTGCCACGCTATCCGTGAATTTCTGCAACATCAGGAGACTTCACTCTAACCTAAACGCCGTCCACTACCATCTCGAGACGGCGAAGCCGGCCTTGCTCTTTCTGACCGAGACGCAGGTTTCCTCTCCGGCTGATATTTCGTATCTCTCCTGCCCGGGGTACAAATTGGAGCATTCCTTTGTGCCTCGGGCTGGAGTTTGCGTGTATGTCAGAGAGGACATCTGTTCTCGACGCCTCGGCAGTCTTGAAGGTTCGGACCTGTCCATCCTTTGGCTACGCGTAGACAGCGACGACCATCCGCGCGTCTACGTGTGCCTCTATAGGTCCCATAGCGGTAATGCCGAAACAGACCGACTCATCGACCACGTCCAAATGGCTACAGATTCCTTGCTACAACAGGTCCCATCCGCAGAGATCGTGATCCTTGGCGATTTTAACGCCCACCATGCCGAATGGCTCGGTTCACGTCTAACCGATCATGCGGGGAGATCTGTTTATGACTTTGCCTTGGCATATGGTCTGACACAACTGGTTACTTCGCCTACGCGGATTCCAGATGTGGAGGATCATACACCTTCCCTGTTGGACCTTCTGCTGACCTCTCATCCGGACGGATATCTGGTTTCCGTCGATGCCCCTCTCGGCTCTTCGGACCATTGTCTGATCCGGAGTGTGGTGCCACTCACGCTCCCTTCGCGGTTGCGTTCTGCAGGTTGCCGCCGTGTTTGGCATTACAGGTCGGCGGATTGGGACGGAATGCGGTCCTTCTTTGCATCCTACCCATGGGGGCGGGTTTGCTTCTCGCCGGATGATCCCAGCGCTGTTGCTGACTCTGTCACTGATGTGGTGCTACAGGGAATGGAACTATTTATTCCATCATCTGTGGTACCCATCGGAGGCAGATCTCAGCCTTGGTTTGGTCGCTCCTGTAAGACTGCATTACGCAGTAAGCAGGAGTGTTATCAAGCCTGGGCTGCGGCTTCGGCGACTCGGGATGTAAATACCAGCACACTTAAAAAGAAGTATAACTTCGCCTCCAGGTCCTTCAAAAGAGTTATTGCCAAGGCAAAGTCAGAGCACATAGGCAGAATTGGCGAGAAACTAGTTCGCCTTCCTTCGGGAACCCGTGCATTCTGGTCTCTTGCCAAGGCTGTCCAAGGGAATTTCTGTAAGCCATCACTACCATCTCTGCACAGGGAGGATGACTCACTGGCCCATGACGCAAAAGACAAAGCCGACCTTTTAGGCTCCCTTTTTGCGTCCAACTCGACTCTTGATGACGGGGGGAAAACACCGCCGACCATCCCGCGGTGTGAGTGCTCCATACCGGATGTGCTGTTCTCACAGCGCTCGGTTCGCAAAGCACTGCTCTCCCTGGACATCCAGAAGTCGAGTAGGCCTGACGGAATCCCCCCAATTGTGCTGAGGACGTGTGCTCCGGAGTTGGCACCGGTCCTAACGCGTCTTTTCCGGTACTCCTACTCCCAAGGCGTAGTCCCGAATTCATGGAAGACAGCTTTTGTCCACCCGATCCCTAAAAAAGGTGACCGCTCAGACCCATCCAACTATAGGCCTATCGCGATCACCTCCTTGTTCTCCAAAATAATGGAATCCATTATTAACTGCCAGCTCATCCGGTACCTTGAGGATCACCAGATGATTAGTGACCGCCAATACGGTTTTCGTCGGGGTCGATCAGCTGGTGATCTTCTGGTCTACCTGACCCATAGATGGGCGGAGGCAGTAGAGTCCAAGGGGGAGGCGTTGGCCGTTAGTCTGGACATTGCGAAGGCCTTCGATCGGGTTTGGCACAAAGCGCTTCTTTCGAAGCTCCCTTCCTATGGGCTTCCCGAGAAATTGTGCAATTGGATCACCAGCTTCCTTGTAGATCGGAGCATCAAGGTCGTTGTAGACGGTGCATGCTCTGACTACAAGCCTATTAACGCTGGTGTTCCACAAGGCTGTGTGCTATCACCAACGCTGTTTCTTCTGCATATCATTGATATGTTGCTAACTGGTAACATTCATTGCTATGCGGATGACAGCACTGGTGATGCTCTATACACCGGCCGTGCCAATATTTCTCGGGAGTACCGGAACAAACTTGTGTCTGAAGTCGAGTCTTTGCTGAACAAAGTCTCGGATTGGGGGCGACTAAATCTAGTCCAATTTTATCCTCAGAAGACACAAGTTTGCGCGTTTACCGCTAAAAAGAACCCCTTTGTCGTATCTCCTCAGTTTCAAGGCACTCCCCTTCTTGCCTCAGCCAGTATCGGTATCCTCGGAGTCGACATATCGAGTGATGTGCAGTTTCGTGGTCACTTGGAAGGGAAGGCCAAAATGGCCTCTAAAAAGCTTGGCGTGCTCAGCAGAGCGGGACAGTATTTCATGCCGGCACACCGCCTGCTACTTTACAAGGCGCAAGTTCGGCCTCACATGGAATACTGTTCCCATCTCTGGGCAGGGGCTCCCCAGTGCCAGCTCCTTCCACTTGACCGCATCCAACGCAGAGCGGCTCGAATTGTCGACGACCGAGCCCTTTCCGATCGGCTCGATTCATTGGCACTGCGAAGAGATGTTGCATCCCTTTGCATTTTCTTTCGCATCTACCATGGGGAGTGCTCTGAGGAATTGTTCGGATTAATCCCAGCCGCCAAATTTCACGAACGCACATCGCGGCAGAACTCCCGATACCATCCACACCATCTGGATGATTGGCGGTCCACCACTGTGCGATTTAGAAGATGTTTTCTTCCTCGCACGACCTCCTTGTGGAATCGATTACCATCAGCGATTTTTCCGGACCGATACGACTTAGGGACCTTCAAGAAAAGAGCGTACTCCTTTTTAAAAGGCCGGCAACGCATCTGTGATTCCCCTGGTGTTGCAGTTGTTCATGGGCGGCGGTAGTCACTTACCATCAGGTGAGCCGCATGCTCGTTTGCCCCCTCTCCTATAAAAAAAAAAAACTATTTCCTCTTTTTAGAGCTGGAACCCGAAGTGATCTACGAGCATGAAGGTTGGCTTCGTGCAGTCTCCTGGTCACAGTTTGGTCACTAACAAGCACCTGGTGTTAAGACTGTAGCTTTTGGACCAATTGCATCGCCGTAACCTTTGGTTGCCTTCTTGTAGCAATTTGTAAAAATCTTGTCTGGGTGCAGTAATGCGTCTTGGTCCTAAATGTCTCTCCGCCACCCGTGGCACGATAGCATGATCAGAACCTCGAAATCACATTTTCCGTGGTGCCTATTGCCGCAGCGACGTCACGTTGAAAAGCACCAGCATGCAGCATTCTCACTGCTCTTAACATATCTTCTCCATTTATTGTCGATGTCGCATTGCACTAAAATGTCAAATTATCACAATCAACCCAACTTGAATCAAAATTATACTTAAATAGCGATTTTCAATAAAAAAAAGAACGATTACTCTGAGTACAAAATTCGCGCTTTTTAAATTTCGAATCAATCTGGAGTAAATGACGAACAATTTGATATTAAAAACATTTAAAGTGGCCAGTACTTTTTTACTTGGTGAATGTTCTTAAAAATATCCGTATGCCGTGTTGATGTGTTTAGTAGCGTGTGAAGAAATGTTTTCGCAATGCGGTAAATCGAGTGGAAATGAAAAAGAAATAAAATAAAAACAACAAAATTTTATTTAATCACTTAAGATTTACCTATAAAAATTCTACTATCGCAGATTATTATTTTTCATTTTATTATATTTTTTCCATAGATCATCCGCAGAATCAAAAGATACAGTATCAGAAAGCGGACACGGCAGCAAACGCGGCATACTAGCAAAAGTACCTAAGCCGCGTCTACCTCGAAGTGCGAGCTCTAGTTCTTCGCTAGATGAAAAGGCACTAAATGGCGCCGAAAAGGAAGAGTTGGAGCATCTTGAGGTGCTGGTAATAAAGCTGGCTAACATCGAGGAGAATGATTATGTTGGTAAGTTGGTCTAGTTTTAGTATTATGTTTAATGTATGAATATAACATAGTCCCGGTGTGCTTGTTTGTGGTGAGATTATTTTGCAACTGTTTGAAACGAAAGTTATTCTCAATAGTATATTAAACATTTATAATAAACGTTTTAGTCTGTGCCATTTAGCACAAAATATTAAAAACAAGAGGAAGCAGCAAAGAACCATAAAGAATCACTGCCGCCAAACTTACACATTAGCAAGGAAAGGTGTACCGACGGTTTTGAAACATGTCAATAATATTAAAAAATAATAAGCAAATGCTTCATGCTACTCGCCATCAGCGAGAACACGAACCATTAGGTACGAAGTAGATATGAGCGCCGAAGGCCAATTCCACGGCGGCGGCGTGGCCTGAAAATTTTCTCGGCGGCGGCGGCGTTGCGGCGGCGCGGCGTGGCTGGATTGTTTTATCAGGAAGAAATTTCTTAAAAGATCTTAAAGAAAACCATATTGTTTGTACTAGCTTTATATTTTTAAACAAAGCCCTGGGGAGCCCCAGCCTAGTGATGGGAACAGTATTCCATGTGAGGCCGAACCTGCGCCTTGTAAATTTGCAGGCGGTGTGCATGCATGTCCCGCTCTGCTGAGCACGCAAAGTGCTCAAGTGATCAAGAAACTTGCACGTTACTCGATATGTTGACGCCGAGGATTCCGATACTGGCTGAGGCAACGAGGGGAGTGCCTTGAAACTGAGGAGATGCTGTGATCTGCAAGAAAGCTGGTGATTCAGTTGCACAATTTCTCGGGAAGCCCATAGAAAGGGAGCTTCGAAAGAAGCGCTTTGTGCCAAACCCGATCAAAAGGCCCATCGCAATGTCCAAACTAATGGCCAATGCCTCCCCTTGGACTCTTATGCCTCCACCCAGACGGGTCTGAGCGGTCGCCTTTTTTAGCCAGCCTGCAGAATGCAATCGCGATGTTAGTGTGAGTGGCACCACACTCCGGACTCGACAATAATCTGAGGAGCCAAAAGGGGAGTGGACGGAGACCTGATATCTATCTGAATGAGAGGTCTGCAAAAGGTCCAACAGGGAAGGTGCATGATCTTCGACATTTGGAATCCGCGTAGGCGAAGTTACCAGTTGTGTCAGACTATATGCCAAGGCAAAATCATGAACAGATGATCCCCGCATGATCGGTTAAACATGAACCGAGCCATTCGGCATTACAATCGCCGAGTATGACAATTTCTGCGGATGGCATCTGCTGTAGCAAGGAATCTGTAGCCATTTGGACTTGGTCGATGAATCGGTCTGATTCAGCATTACCGCTGTGGGATCTATAGAGGCACCCGTAAACATGCGGATGGCTGTCGCTGTCTACGCGTAGCCAAAGGATGGACAGGTCCTTCAAGACTGCTGACGCGTCGAGAACGGATGTCCTCTCTGATGTATACGCAAACTCGAGCCCGAGGCACAAGGAGTGTTCCAATTTGTACCCCGGGTAGGAGAGATACGAAGTATCAGCCGGCGAGGACACCTGCGTCTCGGTCAGAAAGAGCAAGGCCGGCTTCGCCGTCTCGAGATGGTAGTGGACGGCGTTTAGATTCGAGTGAAGTCCCCTGATGTTGCAGAAAGTCACGTGGTAGGAGTCGCCTTGGTCTTGTTGTTCAGCTTGCCCCGAGCATTTTGCCCCCCCCCCCCCCCCCAAGAATACGTGGGATAGCCTGAGCACCCAGGAGTGGTCCCTCCTCAGGAGTGGAGCAGCTTGAGAAGCAGATCTTCCATTCACGCCGGTATTCTGTGAGGTAGTAGTACCACCCCGGCTGAAGCCGGCCCATACGTGCAACAGTCGAAGTTGCCGCCATTGTTAACACCACACAACAATACACGTTTACTCGGTGAAATATTAGACTGGACTGAGTGAGCGACGAGCCTGGCGAGGCGCCAAGGCGAACTAATACGGTCGGGCCGCGCGTGTGAGCGGGAAAGGAAGTTGCTCGTCGTCCCGACGGCGCGCCGCGTGCTTCACGTGGCGGCGACGCGTAGACATGAACTCACGACGACGGCGGCGCGCCGGCGCGGCGCTCATATCTAGTACGAAGGCAGGTCCAAAAGTTCGCAGAATAGAGAGGTTAGAGAGGGGAGGATGGATTTTGTTAACTGTCACTATTTGGTGACTAAATACTATAAATACCAAGTTTCAGCCAGGTCGGTTCATTAATTTTTGATATATCGCAGGATAAACAAGTCAATCAGAAATTGAATACTAACTATGCAGAAAATCGAGTTTTATGCCGTAATTAAGTTCCTCACTAAGCAATAAAAAACGCCACATATCATTATGGAGGGAGATGTCATCTGTTTACGGGGACTCTTATCCTGGAAAACCGATGATTTATAAGTGGCATAGCCTTTACAAGCAAGGCAGAGATTCAATCGAAGACGATCAGTGCTCACGCCGATCGATTGAGTCAACTTCCTCAGACTTGTCTAATGTTGTTCTTGAAGATGCTCGTCTGAAGAAAAAACAGATCGCAGAAATGACTAGAGTATCATCTACGACCGTTTTAAATATTCTTCATGACCATCTTGGCATGTTTAAAGTTAGTGTGGGACGGGAGCCAAGAACGCTGATACCGCTTCAGAAACAACAGCGGGTCGAATGTTCACGCGAGTTTTTGGACCTGTGTAGTGAGAACAGGGATATTAGCGAATTGTGATTGGGGATGAAATTTGGGTTTATCACTTTGAACCTGAGTCAAAGTAGATGTTCATGCAGTGGCATAAAAAAGACGCAAAACCGCCTAAGAAATTCAAGATGTCACAAACGGCCGGAGAGATTATGGCTTCAGCGTTTTAGGTTTCAGTGGGGATTTTAGAAATCTATTATAAATAAAAAGGTGTCAATGTCACGAGATTACGTCACCAAAATGGCGACCAGGCGCATTAGCAATTTGCGGAGCTTATAATAAAAAACGCGGAATCAGCATGGCTTAAAATTTTCTTTACATAGTGAATTGTGTGTGTGCAGGGCTGGTGCCGGAGTCGAAGGTGCTGGAGAGCTTCTACGTGGGCTCGGAGGCCGGCGACGCGGAAGAGACGGCCGCCGCGCTCGCAGCACCTGGACCCGGCGCGCCCGTGCAGAAGCGCACCAGGTGTGTACCGCTGCACTGATGCTGCCTTACTGCTGCATTGCGGTTTTACTACCGCTGCACTAATCTTGCACTACTGCTGCACTGCAGCTACACTGCGTTACTCTAGTGGACATAACTGACCTGTAGCAAGATTGCAGCACTGTATTGCTGCACTGTGACAGTTCCAACTTGTTGCTACTGCCGCGTTATTGCATTGCCGCACCAATGTGGTTTTACACGGACATAGTGCCGCAGTATTGCTCTGAGCAGTTGCAGATCTTCACATGTGCTTGTTTCATCAATATACTACCTGTTTTATAGTAGCGCGCACGTTTGCACTGTTGCAACACTAATGCTGCACTCTTGCACCACTTTACTGCTGCAGCACTGTTCTACTATACTGTTCCAGAACTCTCCTGCTGCTAGTCTTAAGAACTACATTGTTGTTGTACTCCTACACTAAAGTGTACAGTGTTTAAATTTTTACAAATGTTAAATTAATATTAGGATAACAGTTAGGTTGATAGCCTAAAGATCAAAACACTTTTACATTGCGGATCCTGGGTGCAAATCTCAATTGGAGCTATCATTTGAAAAAACAAGAATTTTTGGGTTTCGTGACTGGTCATATTCCGATTGATCTTGGACCCTGCATCGCAGCCTACGTCACTGATCTTATCGCACAGTTGCTGGTTCGTGATAGTATTCGAAACTTAAAACAATCGGACAATAGAACCTCGTCGTCATATTTTACTGTTACGCATCAGTCGAAATCGAAATACTGCATTAATAATATGTTCAATTCACTAAGAAATGGTACTCCTCTTTTGTCTAGGGGCCCGTCTACGTAGATAACACCCACTTATCTATTTCTGTCATAAAAAAGCAGCGCATGCATTGCTGTGTTGCGATTTAAATTGTATAGAGAGCCAGTATAACTCGGTCTTCAGGAGTGACAACGTTACTGCATTTTGATTCCTAATTAAGATTGACTGACCCACACTACACTTACCACTGGGTAGACTATGTGATTATTTGTCACTCTTACTTCTATTAAAAAAAATATTTTAACAAACTAAGACAATCCATCTATCGCCTTTTTCATGTTTGTCGTAAAGTAAAATAAGTAAATAGTATAGTTGTGTTGTATTAGTGTTATTTTTTACTATTTTAATTTTTACAGCAGAAAGGACAGCTAATGTAATGACATCCTGACAAAATTTCGCACGCTAATAAAAGCCATGCATTTTTTAGTGAGAGCTTTGAAATTCAGAAGCGTCAGTAGCCTAATGGCAGGACGCGGACCGCGAACTCCATTGGTTGTGGGTTGGAATCCGCCATGCGACTACTGTCGTGAACCACTTCTAACACAAGCATTTTGAGCTTACGAGAAGTGGTTAAAGGGAATATTAGTAAAGTTTAATAGCATTACTAGTAATTTTTTTTTAAATATTTTGTTTTACCAGATTCTCGGTGTCTCACGACGAAGTGTCTCTGGGCAACACGTCTGACAACTTGGAGGCAGTGTCTGAAGCCGCTTCGAACCACAGCGTCACCTCCAGTCTCGAGCTCGAGACAGAAGACCAAAACGATAACCTTTCTGACATGGTAACTAAAATTTATGGATGTTTTTAAATATATAATATACTCATGGTATATGCATCACACATGCATCTTTAGTGCATTTACTTGTGTAGTGTTGCGAAAGAGAATGTACGGAAGGCTGTAGGGTTCGTAGTGATACGAAATACACAAACACAGATTTAAAGTTAAACTTATATTACTAAGAAATTAACGTCAGACTATTAAGGGGGAAGCTCCAATACCCCCGCCATACATTTTTGTTTTGACATATACGTTAAACACAGACACTATTTGTTTAAAACTTGTCATTTCATCGCTTTTCTACACTGAAATGTGCTCGCGATTGACCTTATTAGGAAATAACTTACAGTATTTATTAAGAAAAATAATAGTGAAATCTAGGAAAATTTTGACATTTCTTTAGTAGTGTGAGTGAATTTTGACAACTTGACAAGCAAAAGTGCCAAAAACATAGTTTAAACATTGGCACGCTAGATGGTGTGCAGACGATATTGTTGTACAACAAATACCATTATTCGTATGTAGATATTATGCAACGATGCCGTACTTCCTAACTTTGAACTAGATGCACGAAGAAAAAGCGATGCCAAACTTCCTTGTCTTGTATGACTGTAATAAAATTTAAACATTCTAAAGTAATTTTCGATTGTCAAGGGATAGGATTTGCGCGCGGAATTTCTTGCGATTTATATTATATTTTTGTATGATTTTCATTGATTCAATTGGCAATATTTCTAGTATGTATTTGATTCCAATATAATACAATATATTGTAATTTATTGTAGGTATAGTATTTAATTATTCAAAACACGCAATTTTGTTTTACCGGTGGTATTAGAAACGCAAGTTGGCCCGTGTTTTCAAATATCGTTACAATACTAATTATCGATGTCATACGTGTCGGTGTTGAGTACGAAACTACAGTCACTGTTTTGTTTGAATATTTTTTTCAACAATAAATAAAATTATAAATCGGTAAGCCACCAAAGTAGTCACAAAATTAATTTTACAAACATTTGCAAAATATAGTTTTGCGGGGTTAAGTAAAAATACCTATTACGTATTTTGCAAACAGTTTCAGACAGACACATATTAATATTAGTTTGTTTTATATTGTTGTAGTACCAAGCTCAAGGTCGCGTTCTTGGATAACAGATGAAAATAATGGTTATGTATTTAATATTAATTTTGTTTTATTATGGTTACATGGTGTATTAGATTAATAATTATTTATTTATTAATAAAATGTTTATCAATAAAATAATTATAAATATTAAACTTTATAAAAATAGAATAGAAATAAATGTAAGTATATTATTTAAAAATTGGTAAACATGTATACGAGCCATAGTAGCTCAGACGGTTAGCGCTCACTGCAAATTTCACACTACGCGAACAACCCGAGTTCGAGCCCTGTCGGCACCGATGAATTTGTTAATCGCACCGCGGCGGACATTTTCTTTTCTTGCCCTAAAACCAATCTAATAAAAAAATAATCAACAAGTCAAATGATTTTTGTTTTACTAAAAGCTTTTGTAGTTGTGTGTGCTTTGAAATTAGGAAATATTTTTTCACCTTCCTGGTAATTATCGCATACTAAATCGTGTTTTAGACTTGTTGTTATCTCTTGTTTACGAACTTAAAATTGCAATTAACAATTTCATTGGTTCCGACGGGGATCGAACCCGGGTTTCTCGCGTTCTGTGAAATTTACAACAAGTGCTAACCATCTGAGTTACAACGGCTCATTTTACAAATATAACTTTTATTTTTATGACATAATCGTAAAATACTGGTATTCAGTTGAATCCGGTTTGACTGGGAGCCGACCTCAATATAGTTGGGAAAAAGGCTAGGCAGATGATGAATCGTACATAATATATATCGTAGTAGGTGGCGTTCTGTAGTTCTGCCTACCCATACAAAAAAAAGGAAATTTTTTCATCAACGCCATCTAGTGTTCAATTTTCGTAAATGTAGGGTCTGAGAATTCACCCACGTCTGTGTGTAAACGACACTATATTCTATGACAGATGTTATTTTCGGACTTTGTGTTGAATTGTGTGGATTTTGGGGCAATGATATGACCTAGTAAAATAAATTATAATGTTCGAGTATCGCGATTGCTACTTCTACGACTTAATAATATTCCAGTTACACAAAAACCCAAATAAACATAAAAATGGTGACTTCAGCGCCATCTCGTGGGAATAATGGCCGGGAACAGACCGTATGTTTCACCTTAAGCAAAAAAATATATATTTCAATGAAATCATCGTCCGTAGCGTGAGATTGGTTATATTTCACTGCTGGAATGATTCAAACTGAAAAAAAAAAACATTTGACGACTGATTGACGCCTGAAAAGCTAGAAATGCTATGTTTTACTAAAGAAAAAATCCTTAAATTTAGTCACTACATCGTCGGATCATCGAGCTGATCGGGATCGTTGCCAGTACCCTTCCTAGCAATATCCACTTGTTCCGTCCACTTTTAATCAGTTAAGAACTTAATTTAGCCGTGTCGATGCGTGCAGGTGTCGGCGAACGTGAGCGGGCGCGGCAGCCCCAACATCTCGGGCCGCGAGACGCCCTCCTCGCAGGTCACCGACGGCGACGCGCCCGGAGACGTCCCGCCCAGACGGTACAAGCTTTTATTGCACCACCTTTTCAACCTTCTTTTTAAGGGTTTTCATAATGACATAGAGATATAGATAGAGAGAGAGAGAGAGAGAGAGAGAGAGAGAAAGAGTGAGAGAGAAAGAAAGAGAGAGAGAGAGAGAGAGAGAGATAGACTAAATGTAAATTGTTTTGTTAACAGTGTATCTCAAAATGCGCCCGCCAATCAGACTAGCAGTAACCAGGCTAAGTTGCTGAAGCAGACGCGAAATGATATAGAGGACAAGTTCTGTAAATTTGAAATCAAGGTAAGCAGATAATATATATTATGTCAGGCCTCTATCACTCTTGCTACCTGCGTAAAATAATTACCTACAATCGCGAGCTGCCCCAGGGGTAGATCGCAGTCGGGGCTAACACGTTTTAGGCGATTGAATGTTAAAGTTTTTTTAACGCTGTTTACGTTAATAATTTTTTTATAAATACTTGTTGAAATACTCGTCGAAAATCGAAATAGTTTATGTTTAGTGCTTAGTACATTTAATTGTAGGATAAAATTGTTGAAAAAGTTTTAATGTAATTTAAGAATAATATATATGTATATTACCTATTTGATAAATTATAATGGCAAAACGTCGTTCCTACTATAATTGTTGCGAGGATGGATGCTTAATGAACAATTAAAAGGATTCAGCTCATTTTTTGAGTTACCGAAGGATAATGAAAGGTAAATTTATTTCATTTTTTGTTAGATAGGTACTTATAGCGAAAAAATAATTAAGTAATCATTTAACTACAGAAGTAATAACTAAGTACTTTATTACAAAACTTAGTTGAAATTTACTTCACTACCCAAGTTCCTACTTACATACCTGTACTCGTCTTTGTAATTAAAATATTTTAAGTTATAATAGCACAAAATGCTGAAATTAAAACTTTGTTTACAAGATTTTCAACTAAGTAGATTACGATCATATTTCTGCTAGAAATCGTATTTCGGGTTTACGAACCAAGCATCGCTATTCCCGACGAATGGCCTTGCAAGTTGCACAGAACTCACATAGTAGATAATGTGGTCGATTATAGTCAGCATAGGTATTTTACCTAAGTAACTTGTAACTCACAATGTATTTTTTTACTCTTTATTAACAGCCCTTAGCAACCACGGAAAGTCTGTTGTGACGTAGTAAGGAGAAAAGATGCAAAGTAATACAGACATTCGCGCGGAGCCATAAAGTTTTATTTAGCTTGCTTGCGCGATTTAGTTGGTTAATAATAACTATGTAGGCTATTAAAACGTCGGCAAGCAGTCAACATCAAAAGAGTGCAACTTCTGTACGTAGTACTATTATTTATTCTGTGATTATGTCAACAACATCAATAACAACTTTTATATAGACTTATACTCAGAAAAATAAAGAAAGGTAGCCAAACCATCAAAAAAGAGCATAGACTATCACAAACAATGAGTGAACGTGCTACAAATCTACGGTCTTGACATAATATCGGGGATAAGTTAGCTTTCCTTTTTTTAAAATATTCGTTACACTAATCTTTTTTTAAATCTTGAATTTTTTCCTGTATATCCTGTATATATCCTGTACGGTTCTACACGTTTACATACACAAATGACACATGAACAAACATACAGACTCGAAACAATTATTTATTGATCGCAAAAACGCTAGTTCGTTTTTGATTCGAATTTATGGCCATCAGCACCGCAACTCAATGATTAGTCATTGTGCTACCGAGCTATGTCATTTTTTAATGATTGTTTATTTTTATCTAAAGACTATAGTTTCATAGAAGTCGGGTGTTTGTTCGCAGAAGTTGTTGGAGGGTGATGAGACGATCAGCATAATGTCGGACACGTGGAGCACTGACGTGCTGGCCTCCGACTCTGAGACCATCGGTGACACCTGCGACAACACGCAGCACGCCGCAAACCAAGGTTCGATTCTCGTTACTGCACCGACGTCTTATTTGCTCACTCTGCATGCAACCAGTTTATTTTATTAATTTTATATCGCTTAATTTGAAAACAAGAAGTGAATATAATAAATATTTTTATGTTCACTTCACTTATATTTATTGTCTCGTGACAAGTACCTTCTGTATTTGTGCCTCATCGTCCATTCCTTAATACCCTTATTGATATGTATTGAATATGCAGAATAATAAAAATTACTTATTGTACAATAGGTGCTAACACGAACAACGCCAATGCTCCAGACGTGTCGGAGACGGCCAGCGAGTCGGCGTGGAGTATGGACGTGCTCGCTTCCGACAGTGATCGTAACACTGAGGTAACATTATATTGATACATAGAAAAACCTTCATTAGCAACAACAAAAACACTTAATAAAAAAAAAGAAAAATATAAAAGTAATAAAGTAGTATAATGGGCGGTAATATCGCTGAAAACGTTTTTCCATAAAACGTTTGGATTACGGATGAGAGGACATCTGTTCTTGACGTCTCGGCAGTCTTGAAGATTCGGGCCTGTCCATCATTTGGCTACGCGTAGACAGAGACGACCATCCGCGCGTCTACGGGTGCCTCTATAGGTCCCATAGCGGTAATGCCGAAACAGACCGACTCACCGACCACGTCCACAATGGCTACAGATTACTTGCTACAACAGGTCCCATCCGTAGAGATCGTGATTCTTCGCGAGTTTAACGCCCACCACGCCGAATGGCTCGGTTCACACTTAACCGATCATGTGGGGAGATCTGTTTATGACTTTGCCTTGGCATATGGTTTGACACAACTGGTTACTTCGCCTTCTGGTACTTCGGATTAATCCCAGCCGCCAAATTTCACGAACGCAAATCGCGGCAGAACTCCCGATACCATCCACACCATCTGGATGATTGGCGGTCCACCACTGTGCGATTTAGAAGATGTTTTCTTCTTCGCACAACTTCCTTGTGGAATAGTTTACCACCAGCGATTTTGCCGGACCGATATGACTTAGAGGCCTTCAAGAAAAGAGTCTACTCCTTATTAAAAGGCCGGCAATGCATCTGCAATCCCCCGGTTTCCCCTGGTGTTGCGGTTGTTCATGGGCGGCGGTAGTCAGTTACCATCAGGTGAGCCGCATGCTCGTTTGCCCCTTCTTCTATATAAAAAAAAAACTTGTCTAGCGTGGGAACTGTGGCGAATATCTCCCTCTATGAAAGAATGTATGGGGGAGGCCTATGGTTCAGTAATGAACATTTTTTTTGGGCTATACTGAATGTAGGAGTTGTGTTGTTGCAGGTGGACACGGACGACTGCGTGTCGGTGGCGGCGCGCTCGGACACGTCGTGGCCGCGCCGGCCCTCCTGCGCCTCGCACCACGACGACCTGCAGCCCGCGCACCCGCCGCCACCGCTGCAGCCTCTGCAACCGCTGCAACCGCTGCAGCCGCTGCCCGCCAAGCTCGCCACACAGGTACACACTTCGCATACCTACGCACACGTTTATTACTGACGCACACGTACACACGCACCAAACACAACACAACACACGTACACACACGTACACATATATGCACACATTACGCACACGCATCCACCCACGCACGTATGACAACTCACACACGCGCTCACGCACACACACACACACACACACACACACACACACACACACACGCACACGCACACACAGACTTTAAACCTCCCTGATCCCCTCCCCCTTCCTTTACGCTATGGTACGTATATGGTATCGGTATTGGTCGGCTTAGCCGAGGAGGGAACACATCGCTCTGTATACAATTGTTTATTGTCATTGAAATAACATCTATTTGTTAAAAATTATCGTTTTCACACTTTAATATTAAATTTTACACGATAATGAATTCGGATACTACTGTAGATCAAGATATTAAGATCACTTTTATTTCAGCTTTTTACCAAAAGTTATGAGTACTACTAAATTACTTAGCAACCCAAAACAAATGTTCATGCATAGGGTATCACCTTATAATTTCGTATGTTTCTATAGACATCAAGTATTTGCAAATTTTCATTAATATGTTAGTGAATGAACAGGACTGTGACAAAATTTTATCGAAAATTTTAATACAAGACTATCGCTGCTATTTTTGTTCAAAATGTATTTACAGATGAATCTTAATTTTACGAAATAAGGTCGAAAATTACTTGTAATAAAGGCAATTTGACATTTTGCCCATTTTTATTCCAATTTCTATTAAAAAAAGTAAAAGAATACACGTGACCTTGGTACGAAACACCTCCATTCTAAATATTTTTCTTTTTTTTTTTCTATTTTACACTCCAACATTGCACAAAACGGCATATTTTCGCATATATCACTTAAGCAGTGATACGTCAGCTTGCAACAATTTGAGCGTGCGACTGACAGTCAATTACGCTCTACTGTCAGTAATTGTGACACGCCTGCCCCGCCCACTTTGGACTTCCTCTTGTTTTTTATATTCCGTGGGCTGGCCATATAGCTCGAAGAACCGACAACCAAAGGGGAAGAAAGGTTCTCGAGTGCAGCCTCGTACCGGTAAACGTAGTGTGGGGCGACCCCCACTAGATGAGTGATGACCTGGTAAAACATGCAAGAAGTCGATTGATGCAGGCGGCGCAGGACCATGCTTTGTGGCATTCTTTGAGGGGGGGGGGGGGCTATGTTCAGCTGTGGACTTGTGAAGGGCTGTAATGATGATGATTGATTGTACAAATAAAATCTTTATTTGAAGCTACGATATAACGTTATATTTGTGTTTTTAGACTATACTAGCTTGCCAGGCAGACGTTGTTCTGCCCTCTTCGACGACCTTTTGTCCTATAAAAAAGTCCTTAAATTCGTAATAAAAAATATTGAGGGTCATTTATCGGGATGAAAACTATCCTATCTCTCAAGTTGGACCAAACTAAACGCAGTGTGCAAAATTTTATTGAAATCAGTTCAGTAGTTTAGGAGTCTATCGCGGACATACAACATGACACGTAATTTTTATATATAAAGATTTAGTTTAATCATGATTTCGTAAAATCACTACAGTATAAATAAACATTACTTTTTTTACACAGAATGGCACCAAGAAACCTGATATCAGCAGCCCTCGACACACATCGCGGTATTTGCCCAACAACCGGTAAAATATATATATTTAATAACTTTTTTTAGAACCATCATTACAATATTGTTGTTGTATGTTGATACAAAGAATACATATTTTTACATGAAAAATAATTAATTAATTAATTATATTTTACGTGATATAGCCATGCTGCAGCTATATTATAGTTGTAGTACGATTGGGTCGGCTTGACTGGAGAAGGACCACGCTCTCACAAAATACCAGCGTAAAATAGCACCATAACACTGCTGCTTCGTATGGTGAGTATAGAGAACCGGAGACCCTTTTTACTGGAAACGAGGCATTTCATCTTAGCCCTCACGGGTGACAACGCATCTGCATTTTGATTGTTATTTGAGGATAAATGTAGGTGTCTATGGGCCACAGCAACCACTTACCATCAGGTGGACTGTGTGCTCGTTTGTCACCCTTATTCTATAAAAAAATGCACCCTGTATTCACTGTCCTTCAGCATGATATGACGGCAAACAGACACGACCGGAGAGATGAGACTCGGGAGCTTTAAGTGCTTTTCGACGCACGGGGGTGAAACACAGGCAACTTGACTCTGGGTTTCTATTGAGAATTTCTAAATATATAAAGTCAGTATCTGATTTTTTGACCCCGACAGCAGTGTCTTTAACGACCGGTAGACCAATGAGGTTCGTGTAATCTCGTTTGTCGATTCAATTTAAAAGAAATGTAAGCGGATTGTATTGTAATCCCACGGCGTGTGCAGGTACTTGAGCGCGACCGCGGCGCTGTCCCGCGGCGGCGAGCTGGACCTGGCGCCGCTGACCGGCGCGCACGCCGTCTTCGTGGAGAACCGCAAGAGCATACTCGTCAACGGTTACCCGGTACGCCGTATATAATTTACCTAAGGTCACATAACTTCTATGTACACTACTGGACCGGCAATTCACATGGTAGAGCCACGCTGCAGCTATATTAATAGTATATTTGTAGCACGAGTGAGTTGGCTCGACCGGGGAAGAAGGACCACACTCTCACAGAATACCAGCGTAAAATAGCAGCTTAATGCGACTGTGTTTCGTATGGTGAGTGTAGAGAACCGGAGACCCTTTTTACTGGAAACAAGGCATTCCATCTTAGTCCCCACGGGTGACAACGCAACCGCATTTTGACTCGCAAACGAGGATAGATGTAGATGTCTATGGGCCACAGCAACCAATTACCATCAGGTGGACAGTGTGCTCGTTTGTCACCCATATCCTTAAAAAAAAATTCAGAACAAAAAAATGTATCGCAACTGTGGATCACCGCGTGTCGTGTTCGGGGGTGCTGGCACGGTAAACATATCACGCAGTTGTATTGTCATATATTGACAGTTACAATTTTTAGGCAAATACGAAATAAAGTTACATACTTATCTGAAACAAACTTCATATCACGTTGAGAAAGTGCACACATAAATAATGACAGCATTTTCTTAGTCACATTAAAAAAAAATAGATTATCGAACACAACATTCGCGGTTTACAAAACTAAGAACTAGTCTTCTCGCCTGCTTGCAGTCAAATAAAGAAGTTACTGAGAATTGACCGTAATTTAGTGCGCAATGTATGTATTCGGGTCGTAGTGCCCGTCTAGAAATATATGAAAAAGTCTATGTAATATCACTTTTGCTTACACACATTTAATTTCATCAACTGAACTGAACTGAATTGAATTCAAATCAATGTTTTGATGAATTTGAGAAAACTTTATCAACTTTACAGAAATTAAGTGCCAAGCGTGGCAAGTATGACGAAACCCTCCCTATGAAGTAGCCTATATGTATGCAACAGTGCACTTTTGATAGGCTGTTATGTTAATTGTCTTACGCAACGTAAATATTTTTTATTTTATTTTCATGCTATGAAATATCACATTCATACTTACATTTCTCGCCTTTTGTGTCAAATGTATACATTCCGTTACAGCCTATTAAAGTCCACTGCTGAACATAGGCTTCCACCATAGATTGCATCATAGGGGGGATATTTGCCGAATATGTACATATGTACGAGTACATTCAATGACATTACTTTAGACATAGACATACATTTTTTCAGCACCCTACACTCGTAAAGTTTTGATACAGAAAGTAAAATGTTACATAAAAACATCAAAGCTAAAAATAAATAACAGTGAACAGACAAAATATTCAGATTGTATGAGTATGCTGAAAGGTGCACTGATTCAACATAATGCTCTCGTACAGTTTCGGTAGTGTTGGTTTTCAGCAATGCCGAATGAGGTTGGAATCGCCCGCGAGAACAGTGTGTACGCTATATTAGAAATATGTACGAGAGAGATGTTATATAACGATGTATGTATAATTAAACAGATATAATAATTAATAACCATATTTATACTATAATATGAATAAGCAATACAACCCTAAAAGTTAAACCGAGAAAAGTATTTTTTTACTTTTACCTTTAAAAGGCTGATGCTGTTCAGTTGACGGATAGGTTGGGGCAAGTTGTTCCAGCATTTAGTAGCTGCATATCGGAAACAAGAATGCTGTTGTTGTGTGTTTTGTTATCGAAAGGACATTTGATTTTCTTCGAATGTCCTTTAATGGTTATTTATTAAAAATTTTGTTTGTTATGGCAGGTCATGACGTGCTATGCCACATCGGCTCCTGAAAGTCCCAGCACGTCCACGCCCGCGCAACTTCCTAACGACGTATTTGATTATGTTTCACATAATGGGTATGATTTAGTCTTTAAAAAACCTAGCTTTTATAAAACGTATAAACATGTTGAATTTATTACAATTTGAAAGTTTTATTTTTAATTGTTATTTTACAGCAATAGCGCACAAACTGAATCAACACTCGAGGCCGCTGCGGTTCAGTCGGATGCAACAAGCCAATGGGTGGACGATAGTTTCCCCCAACCGCATTCATCGTCACGCCCCTTCCCAACTGGCAAATACGAGCACCCCTCCACTTCCAAATCCTACGACCTCCCTTCCACTTCGAAACCTTACGACGACAACGACATCATGGACCGATCGCTTAACTCTAGCGAAAGTTCGTTCAACGCGCTATCCGTGTCGCAGTACGATCGCCGATTCGATTCGGGTATCGACACCGAACGACCCGAATCGGAATCGAGGTCCGCCATAACCGATCTGATGACTCGAATGAGCTCCGCCACGATATCTACATCGGCGAATTTAGTCAATAATTTAACGTCTCGAATAGTTAAATCGGAGATTCGTACAAGCATCGTCAATATAAGCTCCTCTCGAATAGAGAAGAAGAAAGAAGCGAGTAACATGTCACTTAGTACACTGTCTGTGAACAGTGCTGAGACCTCAGTGTCCGATAAGAGTTCCAGCCAGGATGTGAACTCAGAGAATGTAACTGAGCGAAGAGTGAGTCCCCCTCCCGTCAAGAATGTCTCTACCGGTGCAATACCCAAGAGTATCAGCTTCGATGCCACCGCTGAGAAATCTCAAAGGTAAGACTTATTTTTTACGAATGTAAAATCCTGGGTTTTTTTTTTAAATTAATAGGATAAGGGTGATAAACGAACACACAGTCCATCTGTTAGTAAGTGATTGCTGTGGCCCATAGACATCTACATCTATCCTCGATTAAGAGGAGGTGTTTTGTATGGTGAGTACAGAGAACCGTAGACCATATTTATTTGTAATGGGGCATTCCATCTTTGTACTCAACGGTGACAACGCATCTCCTTTGTGAGAGTTTCCTATTCTTCTTTTGGGATGATGATAAATGCAACAGATAGCTGGAATTCTTTTTACTATATTTTCAATATTAATTGAAAAAGTAATATGATAATGATTGATATAATTACACGTTCAAAAAGTGGAAGAGCAGCTATATTGTAGTTGTAGCGGGTCGGCTCGATCGGGGAAAGCTAACACTCCCCAGAATACCAGCTTAAAATAACAACTTACTGCTGCTGTGTTTCGTATGGTGAGCGTGGAGAACCGGAGACCCTTTTTACGAGAAACGAGGCATTCCATCTTAGCCCTCAGGGGTGACAATGCATATATACATTTAAATTCTTATTTGAGGATAAACGTAGATGTTTGTCTATGGGCCACAGCATCCACTCACCATCAGGTGGGCCGTGTGCTCGTTTGTCACCCTCATTCTATTAAAAAAAACACGTACGCGACGTGCGAAATTAAAACGTAAACAAGACAACTTTTTAACAGACTTCAAAAAAGAAGGAGGTACGTAATTCGCTTGTATTTTTTTGGTGTGCTACCTCAGAACTTTTTTGTGGTGAACCGATTTTGATGATTTTTTTTATGTTAAAGCTGGTGCTTCTCATGTGGTCCCATATATCTTAGACATCGACTAAATTGATGATGTTCTCATTTTATTTATATTGTAGTCGGTTGTATAATATTTCTAATTTTATCACTTGTAAACTAAACTGTTAAATTTATGCAATGGCTTAAGTGCTGATTGTATTATTGTCAACTTGTAAAATATAATATTGAATATAGAAGCATCTAGGCTAGTATCGAAACTGCGTGAAACAATATATGGTTGTCCCAGAAGGCGTATAATAGGCGAGGATATGCTGGCCGGCAACTTGGACGAGCTGAAGAACAACATGAAACGTTCCGGAGGCAATTTGCTGCACAAAATCAAATTCTTCCGCCAAAAGGGGCGGTCGAACCAACAACAAGTCGGTGAGTTATTAGAAAACGTTCAATTTTTATTCGACTCACACAAACAGTTTTAAGTATACCCCAAGGCAGTATCCTGGGGCCTTTATTTTCATTTATTGTAAAATGCTTGTCAACTGCATTAAAGTGATATTTACTACTTACTAGAAAAGACAACGCGAACAAAACCAGGCGAAGGAAGCACATAGTTCCCTTTAATGGCACAAACTGCGCAAGTTTTAGTCCGTCGGCTCTAACGCGTGTTGCAAACGACCAAATCTCATCGCCTCTTTTAGTACGTAGTATATATTATTTAACTGTCTCGTAGGTCAAGTGATCGTAACGGCGACTACTGATTATGAAGTTTCGAATCCCGTATCGGGCCAGAATCAGTTATTGGGTTTTTATGTCAAGAAATTTTTAACAGAAGCCCAGAGACAAGAAGTTGGCGGTGTTCCATCCCCGTGCCTCGGAAAAGGACGTAAAGCCGTTGGTAGTGCGCCTGATCTCTCTTCGGTCGTGTCCGATTACCGTCCCATTGGACTATGAGAGTGAGGGAATAGACAGTGCACTTGGCTTTGTCGTCGTGACCGAAATCCGATCTAAAGAACATTATTATTACTAGAACAGGCATATTCTCTGCGGCAGTGCGAAACGCGTGGAAGGAGGCACGTGGGCTTTTAACGCGTGTTGTAAAAGTCTCGGCGTTTCTTCTAGCATTATTTATCTTATGCATATTACTTTAATGGAAAGACTTCTATGTATACTATCAGGCGGGTATTATGGTATTAATACATTGCGCATTACGTTACGGTCAGTTCTCCGTAACTTCTTTAGTCGACTGCGAGCAGCCGAGAAGACTAGTTCTTTGTTTTGTAAACAGCATTATTAACACTGATTTTGTCTAATGTGACTAAGAAATTACTGTTATTATTTATGTGCGTTCTTTACGTATTTGCCTAAAAATAGTAAATGTTGTACATGATAAAAATAAGTCCGTGGCATATTTACCGTACCAGCTATCCGCCCAGCTAGCCCCGCGCGATGCACAGCTATGACAGAGTTTTTATTCTGAATTGCTGGTAATAGTACATAACTGTAAATATTTGTGTGCACATATTAAAATGGGCGAGGAGGAGCGTCTCTTTTAGTATTTGGTATATAAATTTGACCTTATAAAAGTTGAAAAACTTTATTAAACAAAGTTTGTATAAAAAGGTTTATTTATTAGGAATTAATGGATAATAATAACCCCTTGGAATGAGGTGATTGCTATGAATCAATTTCTAATTTATTCTGTGGTTTTAATCATGTGTCATATATTTAAAATATTTATTTGTGTAACACAAAATTAAAACTGTTGTTTTAAAAAACCGCTGGGTTTCTTGTTGGTTCTTCTCAAGACAGAGGTTTTTTTTCAAACAAAAGAGTGACTTTCAATAAGTATTATTTATAATCTATATTGAATAAAAAAGTTTCTGTTTCTGTTTCCGAGCCAGTGATAAACATAAGAGTAACTTTCAATAAGTATTATTTATAATGTATATTTAAAAAAGTTTCTGTTTCATATTGCTTGATTGGTTATTTGGCGCATTCGGATGCAGATATGAAAGTGGGTGAGGAGGAGTCCGAAGTGCGCGTGTGTGCGGCGGGTCCAGCAGGCGCGGAGGGCGCGGAGTGCGCGGAGTGCTCGGACGACATCCTGGCCAAGTACCGGCGCAAGGGCTCCGGCTCCGACGCTCGCGCCCGCAAGCCCGCCCGCCGCCTCTCCGACCACCACGACCCCGACATGGACAAGTATGGAATATTGTGCTATAATCGTATCGCTGATTTCTGGATCCTCGACAACAGCTCCACCTACCGACTCCAATAGTGAATCTAAACCATTATCAAATCAACTTAATCAAATACACAAAATTTCATCAAAATTGATCCAGCTGCTTAAGGGGAGTTCAATCATGTATCCGTGTGGGATAAAAAAATTATACACAGGGTGTTACTGAAACACTCCCAAAAACGAAGGTAGACGATGGTACTAACGATACCTTTGATAGTAATAGTACAATTTCTCTAGTATTATCATTATATTCGTTCTATTTTTCTATAGATGCGAAGGCGTAGTAGACCTTAACGACCCGGAGGTTTTCAACAGTATGAAACGACGGCTTCGGATGATCCTCTCCAACACAGATATGCACTGCGTGGAGTATGTGCCCAACGTATGTATATACTTTATTATGTATTCTATTGCATTCAACATAAAGTGTAACATTAAATGTAATGAATGATTATTGTAACAAATTAATATTTTAACTTTTTTTTGTCTTATATATCGCTGGTATGCTATGCAATCTTTGGTTTCATGCATCTATCAAATCAATTACAAATGTAATTGTCTATGTGTTTAGTGTTTATCTATGGGTGTGGCTAAAGATTAGGCTAAGACACATCGCCTTGGGAGATGGATATGTCCCATAGTGGATTGCCGCTGGTTAATAATGATCTTATTCGAATCCTACCATTGTCGGTCAGTCATAATAAAGCGTGATTCTGCCACGTACAGTAAGTCGTTACGCATTGTTCTAGTTAAGCGACGTAAAGCGACAAATCGCGTATGTATAGTATGGCTCTACAAATAATACGTGAGAGGGTGAGAGATACGAAAAGCCATGCTACAGTTATATTAATAATACAGTTGTAGCACGAATGGGTCGGCTCGACCGGGGAAGTACCACGCTCTCACAGAATACCAGCGTAAAATAGAAGCTTAATGCTGCTGTCTTTCGTATGGTGAATGTAGAGAACCGGAGACCCTTTTTACTGGAAATGAGGCATTCCATCTTAGTTCTCACGGCTGATAACGCATCTGCATTTAGATTCTTGATGGAGGATAAATGAAGATGTCTATGGGCTATAGCACCACTTATAATCAGGTGGACTATGTGCTCGCTTGTCAGGGTGACCTATATATCCTCCTATACTATAAAAAAATTGTCACAAATTGATCAACGTAGGCCACGTGTAGGTTTTTTTATAGGAGAGGGCAAACGACCATGCAGCTTACCTGATGGTAATTGACTACGGCCGCCCATAAACAACTGCAACACCAGGGGAATTAGAGATGCGTTGACGGTCTTTTAACAAGTAGTAGGCTCTTTTCTTGAAGGTACCTAGGTCGTATCGGTCCGGAAAAATCGCTGGTGGTAATCGATTCCACAAGGAAGTTGCGCAAGGGAGAATTGTTTAATATTCTTGACCTGTGTCGTATCACGTCGAATTGTGTGTCACTGTAGTTTTTGTCGCTATCCTAATCGATGAGCCGTTTAAGTTCAAGGGCTAAATCGTATATTTTACAGTACTCGAGCAACTCGAGCTTATATCCGATGACATCAATGAAATTTTAATTGCAATATTAAGGGGCCGGTCCTCAAGAAACGCGCAAATAGGCAGTTACGGTTTTAAAAATATTAAATAACTGACGTCATTGAATGACACAACAAAAATCTGAATTAGTTAATAGATGGGTCTATACTTTCACCGTGTGATATTTATAAAAAACATCTTGATTTTCGAGAAAAAACATCTTATACATTGGTAAAAACACTTAAAATGGCCTTTTCTATTTTAAATCTCTAGGTCATTTCGTTATTATTTTAGAAAATCTTTTTGGTTAAAACGTGAGCTAAAAGTATAGACAACACATTCACCGTTCATTATTTTTACTAATTCAAACCATAAAGCAACAATCTAAGACTAAATATCATTCATTTTTTAACAGAAATCGTCCATACATTTTAGTATGAAACGGTTAGGTTTCCGTAAGTCGCTTTATATTAGAGAACACGCGTGAAAAAAATTCAGTGTCGCCTCAATTTTCGAGGTGAGTACCCGTCCGTTTGTAGCTCGATTTGACAAGTAAGGTCGATACATCTATTGTTTGACACAGCATAAGGGTGGGTCGCGAGTGTCGGACAACATTATTTTTATTATTTGTATTCTTCGAGTAAATAGACTAACTAGGTATGTGAATTTTATTATGTATTGTTTTTTGTAATAATTAGAAATTAATGTACTTAATAAAATAGTAATTTACTTTAATATCTATTTCAAGTAGATATTATGGGAAAACGCAAAGAAATTATTAGAATAAAAAAATCTAATTAATAATGTAAGCATATGAAGTGAACCACACGGAAACTCGCTAAGCAAGCAGTCTTTTTCAGGACTTGACTATACCACCGGTGCAGTGGGTTACCCTGTGTGGAGTCCACCCATTGCGATATCATTTCTGACTTTCTGGAATAGTTCTGTCCTGATTGACTTGTCCGGTTCTTTGTTGAGGATACCATCTGATTACGATCACGTTTAGGTTATTTTAGTAATATCTTATGCCGAGGTTATTATTGCAGTAGTTAAATTTAGATAGATAACTAATATTTATATAGAAGTTATCTAGTCAGTTAGGCTGTCTTTTAATGTTATGGCTTTTCATTAGTGCTGACAAAATACAAAACGTAACAATAACTCTGTGGTTCCCTTTAAGTGAGCTATCAAAATCAGTATTCAAACGTATATAAATAATTTTACTTCAGAAAAATCAACATAAAAAATAATCAAATTAAATTTAAATAAAAGAATACCTGTAAATTGTATGTGGATTGATTACATCTTATAAAACACAAAAACCTTAATTAACATAGGTATTTTTTATCGGTCGTTGATAAACAACCTTTTGTTTTTAAATCTTTTAATGACAATTGAATTGTGACAAAATTTTATGTTTATTAAACTTTTCATGTTTTAAATATGTAAGTAATGAAAAAATACGGGCTCAAAATAAGTCAGTTGGCGTATACTAGACGACACTTTAGCGATCATTTGAAGTGCGTGTAAATTTTGGGGATTTTCCTATACTAAAGTCCAACGATGACGAGCGGGTAGTGGGTTTGAGTTTTAGGAGCGTGCGAAACGCGGCTTATTTTATAGTAATTTTATTTTGTTTATTACATTATTTTAATGTGGAGCTATTTAAAAATAATTTCTGTTACATATTCTTTATCGAATAAAGTTTCACATGAAACGTGATACATTTCTCCTACAAATAGTTGCAAGTTTGAAATTAATCACGACATTTTATACTTGAAACAACCTTTTTTTTAAATATTTTTTCCAAATCTCTAATTAGAAATAATGTGGTTTACAACATAACTATCCAATAAAATGTGTTTTGACGGTGAAGGAATATTCACCACTAAAAATATATTTTTTTTATAAGATAAGGGTGACATACCAGCACACAGTCTACCTGATGGTAAGTGGTTGCTGTGGCCCATAGGCATCTACATCTATCTTCGATTAAGAATCAAAATGCAGATGCGTTGTCACCCGTGAGGACTAAGATGGAATGCCTCGTTTCCAGTAAAAAGGGTCTCCGGTTCTCTACACTCACTGTTACGGCCTACGGCTGCTCCCTTAGAGGATCAAATCATCAGGGGCCCATGAGCTGAAGACTTCCCGAGCAGACGTAGGTCGAGCCTCGATGTGGCCACGTGGAATCTCTCTAATTACACTAAAATATATGGGGGAGCGTTATACTACAGCCAGTCGACCGGAAGGAATTTGGACGAAGCTTACTTACCTATATCCAAGGCGACTGGTCCCTCCGGAGTCGGTCAGGTCGCATGTGGTTGTGTAGTGCAAGGGAAAGAATGGTGATGTGGTGTGTATCTGGGTGTGACTGATGGTGATTGAACCTAGACCTTAGCCGTCGGCAGCAGCCCGGGCGTCGATACCGCTCCAACTTGAGGGGGCCCTCCGAGGCTTGTCCACATTCACTTTCCTTGTTCGTCAAGATGACAGTCACTTAACTCTATCGTACGATTAACTAACTTACAGAAGCCACTACCTATCGCGGGGTATAAGGTTACCGCACAAAACACGCACGGAGTTTCTGGATCAAAGGTCACTACCGTTTCGCGTTGCAACAGTTAGTTCTAGAATACAGAGGCCGCACTAGCTAATATTGTCGAATGCATTTATACAGATTCTGAGTCGGACCCAATAAGTCCCGGGGAAGCTCTCCAGTAGGGATACGCGCCACAAAATTCCTAGACCGTATTTTTACTGTCCGCGCTTAATTATTTCGAGTTCCCGCGCTTAATTGGCAGCGTGCCATTATTCACATTCACATACATCATTCACACACAAACAATGGGGGTACGCGCGTTGCGCAGCGGCTCGCTTTAAAAAAATTATTTATCTGCCATGTCAGAGACCACAGTGGCCGTAGGTATGTCGGCACTTGTCGTTTAGTTTAGATGTAAATAACATTTTTAGAAATAATAAATTTAGTTAGTTATTTGATTAGAAACGCTAAAATTCCATTCATAGTACACCTATACGTACCTGAAACGACCAACAGATTGTTTGTTACACACTGTATAAATTGTTTAATCCACTATGATTGTTTAAATCTTTGTTAACCTTTATTTTTTAATAAAAGATCATTCTTATGAAACACACATTTCCCATATTACAAAATACATTGATAATATTTTAATTTTGTTCATAAATAAAAAGTAATAATTAAAATAATACCTAGAAAGCGTAAACTCTGGCCCCACCCTCTGCCGTCAGCCATTAATTACGGGCTCGCGTACTTCGCAATGTGACAAACAAATGACATAAAAGAAATTGCAAATGGCTACATACAATGCGTGTTTTTTGAGACATTCATGAACGTCCTACGACGACGAACGCGTGATGAACTTGTGCAAAACACCAAAAGTAATTTATTCATGTCCAGGGTGCGTATACTAACACTGCGAGATGCGTCTGTGTGGCTAGAAAATATCAATGTAGGTGTTCTATTAGAAGTTCCCACGCTCAAGGACTACAGTCTTAAGTGCTGATTTAAATTATCCACGTAATTTAATTCTAATCAATTTAACATTAAATTTAACCTCGTACTCGGCTGTGAAGGAAAACATCGAGATCAAAGACATGTGAACAAGCATTAAACGGCTAAAACCCTGTTAGAAACGAGAGGAGGCTGTAGCTAGCTGTGGGACGTCCATAGGCTGCGCTTTTACTTTTCTAGGACAAAGGCGGCTCTTCACGTTGGCCAAACACAGTGGCGAATGTGTTGGCAAAGATATTAGCCAAGAGTTTGTGATGGCGTCCACACGTTGGAAGGTCGTTTAGTTTGTTTCGGTTCAGGCCAAGGTCCTGACGAATTTATTAAAATGAGTATTGAGGCGCTAACGGCTGCTGCGTTTTATTTACTCACAGCATACCACTATTACGTGAATGTGTATAAGAAAGGGGTGATCAAAAAGAAATGGGAAAAAGCAATTTTATTTCTTGTGTTCCACAAACAGTTAACGGCTTGGTAGAGCTCTATAAAACGAAAAGTTTTTTTCATTGGTCACTGTTACTGCCATTAAGTAGACACTAGTTACGATGCGTGAATATAAACTTTAAATCGGGTGCGTGCGGTGACTATGGGATCTCGTAGCAAACTAAACGTGCGCACAATGTGAGAACACTGCGGCCACTACTCTGCCAACAACCCTTTGATCTTTTGTAAAAAAACCGACACTACACGGATCTTGTGCCAACTTGTGAGTCATCATTCCAATACATACCAACGTAAGCACAAACACGCGCGCTACACGATGGCCATTGGTATTGGCCAACACATTCCCCATTATGTTGGCCAACGTGAAGAGCCACCTTTACACGTTGCGTATGTTCGGCAGCGCTGTACCAGCACGTCGCTGGTGGAGTTCGTGCGCGCGGGCGGGTGCGCGGAAAGCGCGGCGGTGGGGCGCGCGCTGGCGGGTGGGGGAGGGGGCGGGGGCGAGCGCGGTGCGCGCCTCGCTGCCGCACTGCGCGCCGACCTGGCCGCGCGCCGCCCGTACGCCGCCTACCTCGCCTCATGCCGCGCCGCGCTCGCGCACAAGCACCACGATCTGCGCACGTGAGTGCACACGCACACACACACACTCGCACCCACGTACGTATACGCACGCACGTGCACACACACACACACACACACACACACATACACACACACACACACGTTTTTGCTTTTAATTAAAACAATAACCTCACCTAAAACATAAACACACGTATTCACTACACGCATACTATACAAGGACACGTTTATTATGTAACAAATAAACATTGTCTATACAGATCACAAAATATAAATAAATTTATTTTTTGACCAGTTTATAATGAGTGTATTATGCTATTACATAACTTCATTTGATTTCTCATATTCAACAGGCAAATTAAGGTGGTTCGTGAGGAATGCAGAGATTGCGCGCGAGCTGCAGCGGCGGCGCGCGTGCTGGAGCAGCTGGAGCGCGGCAACGCACTGCGCCGCCTCGCGCGCCACCACCACGCGCACAACAACCACGCGCTGCTCAACGGTCAGTGTACAGTGGACAGTATGCAGTGCACAGTCACTTTCCAGCGCTGCAGCAGCTGGAGCGCGGCAACTAAAATCCACTTCTGAACATAGGCTCTCTCCATAGATTGCTTTAAAAGAAGAATTTTGTCATAAGAGGCTGCAGCCTATATCCTGTTTCAATTTAATGAATATACGTATAATAAATTCAAATATCGTGTGTAAACTGTACAATATATTTATAAAACAGGTGGCGAACTAATGGATGAAAAAGCGAAAAGACTGATGGCCAGCATTAAAGCGATAACCGCTGAAGTAAAAGCAGACCCATCGTGGGAAGGTTAGTATTTTTTTTTTGGAGTGAAAACTTCTTTAGAATCGTTGTGATTTGAGAAACTAGATGAAATAAAAAGAAATATTAATAAGTTCAACAATCATTTATCCTTCTAACAATGTGCTTTTTATAACATTTATGTGTTCAATTGATTGTTGGATACGATTTTCTGCGACAAAACGTTAGAATCTTGATTTTTAGGCGCTAGTAGAACATACCTACGCGCTTTGCGCTAGGCATAGGCATATAGAATTTATGGTACAAGGTTATATTACACTTAAATTAAGATATAGTTTTTCCTTGTGTTGTTCTGCTGTTTGTTATCCCAAATATACAGAGAAAATAAAAATATTTTAATTAAAAATGAATATAAGTGTGATGTACCAGCCGCAAATATAGAGTTAAAACACACCTACATCGTGTAAACGAGGTGCAACTTGTAAAGCTTAGGTATAAGGTCGATGTCGAAAGTCGATTTTCACTCTTGGAAATCGATTCACAATGAGCAAATACTTTCGTCTTACTTCCTTAATTAACGCTTTAGCTCTATTGGCAGGCGCGACGGCAACGCTGCTTGAATGTGCAGAGATCACCGTGGAGCGCGCCGCCTTCGCGCGTCTGTACCTACACGTGCTGTTCCCTAATGGCGACGGCGACATAGCACGAGATCAGTGAGTACTATAAATCTTAAATTTGGGTTTTTGGCGGGCACTTGACCGGCGGCGGATTGCTGCTCGTGTGCTATTGTTTGAATAATGATTTGAAGTGGATTTAAATAATATTTAAATATTATGTGGCCTATACTGCCTCCGCCCATCTATGAGTCAGATAGATCTGAACATCACCAGCTGATCGACCCCGACGAAAACCGTATTGGTGGTCACTAGTCAGCTGGTGATCCTCAAGGTACCTCATAAGCTGGCAGTTTATAATGGATTGCATTATTTGGGGAACAAGGAGGTGATGGCGATATGCCTCTGTAGTTAAGCGGGTCTGAGCAGTCACCTTTTTTAGGTAAAGCTGTCTCCTATGAATTCGCGACTATGCCTAGGTAGCAGAAGTACCGGAAAAGACGCGTTAAAACCGTTGCCAACTCCGGAGCAGAGAGTCGAAAGAGGAACTCCTTCGGGCCCACTCGACTTGTTGACGCAAAGAGAGTGCCTAGCAGATCGGCTTTCTTCTTTGTGGCATGGGCCAGTGAGTCGTCCTCCCTGTGCAGAGATGGCAGAAATTTTTCTACAGAAGTTCCCTTGAATAGCCTTGGCGAGAGGCCAGAATGCACGTGTTCCCGAAGGAACTTTAACTAGCTTCTCGCCAATTCTCTATGCTCTGACTTCGCGTTGGCATTGACACTTTTGAATGACCTGGAGGCGGAATTATACTTCTTTTTCAGAGCGCTGGTGTTTGCATCCCGATACGTTGATGCGTCAGCTCAGGCCCGGTAGCACTCCTGCTTATGGCGTGATGCAATTTTACAGGAGTGACTAACCCATGGCTGAGCTCTGCCTCCGATAGGCACCAGAGATGATGGAATAAAAAGTTACATTCTCTGAACTACCACATCAGTGATAGAATCACCAACAACGTTGGGATCATCCGGCGAGAAGTAAACCCGCCCCCATGGGTACGATGCAAAAATAACGCATAATCGGCCGACCTATAGTGCTAAATTCGGTGACAACCTGAATAACGCAACCGCAATGGGAACATGAGTGGCACCGTATTCCGGAACAGACAATGGTCCGAAAAGCCAAGAGGGGCATCGACGGAGACCTGATATCTGTCTGGATGAGAGATCAGCAGAAGGTCCATGATGCATGATCTTCCACATCTGGGATCAGTTTAGGCGAAGTAACCAGTTGCCACGTAACGCCTTGGCATGTGGTCTGATACCACATGCCAAGGCGAAGTCATAAACAGATCTACCTGCATGATTGGTTAAACAGGAACCATGCTATTCAGCGTGGTGGGCGTTAAAATCACCAAGGATCAGTCATTAGGACGTAGGTGAGTTTGTCTGTGTCGGCATTACTGCTATGGGACCTATAGAGGCACCCGTAGATGTGAGGATGGTCATCGCTGACTACGCGCAGCCATAGCATGGACAGGTCCGTACCTTTAAGACAACCGAGGTGTCGAAAACAGATGTCCTCTCTGACGTAGAGGACGGAGAGGACACCGGTGTCTCGGTTTGAAAAAGCATGGCCGGCTTCCCCGTCCCCAGATGATAGTGGACGGCGTTAAGGTTTGAATGAAGTCCTCTGATGATGCAAAAATTCATGGATAGCGTGGCAGGGGTCGCCTTTGTCTTATTGCTCCGCTTGCCCCGAGCAATTTCAATCGCGAGCAGAATTTCGTCCCCCCCCCCCCAGAATACGCGGGGCAGGCTGAGCACTCACGCTCAGGAACGTTAAGGTAGCTTGGGCGTGGATGCTCAGCGAGGGATTCTCCGTCACCAGCGGTGCTAGTACCCATCTGGGGTAGTGCTTTATTTAAATCCGCTACAGTTTAGGGGGGGGGGGGGACTGGACCTCCGGCCATCTGCACTTACTAGGCGAAACACAGAAGTAAACTTCTATTCCACGCTCGTATTAAGCTATGTTTTAGGGCAGTTTGTACACAAATGGATGGGAAAATTTATAACACTTAATAATGTTACGAGCTTGGGGTTCGAGACAATTAAAAACTACCGATTCAATTTCCAAAATTGACACTTTAATTACAGAACACTAATTACAATTTAAAACCACACTAATAATAGAACACAATTGTATTACTGATCACTTTAGTTCGCAGTTATTTTGCTTCGAAGTATTCGCTTGTATCGCCAATTCAATACTGACTCGGTCGTGGTCTATACCGGCCTTATATGTTTATTTTGCGGTCATACCGTGTTTTAATCTTCTCAGACGTTTGCTGGCCCGACTATCTGACGTGCTCATAAATGTCATTCATTTTGTTCCGCAAGTCATTTGCATAATCGGTTATACTGCGTGGGGTATCAGGTGGTATTCCGGTGGTCAGGTCTGCAGGCAGCCGTAATTCTCTCCCAAAGTTTGCGAAAGCTGGTGTCACTGATGTACTTTCGTGAACAGCGCTTCGATATGACAACAAAAACGGTTGTATGTGCCTGTCCCAGTCTCGTTGCCGGTTTTCCACAACTTTTGCTAGGTACCTCTCCAATGTGTGATTAAATCGTTCTGCCATTCCATTAGATTGTGAGTGGTAAGAAGTTGTTCTTGTTTTATGAGTACCCATAATATTTGAGACTCAAAATTCCTTCCTTGATCGCTATGAATCTCTAAAGGTACTCCAAAACGACAGAAGACTTAATGAACTAGTTTCTCTGCAACTGTTGAAGCTTCTTGATTTGGAATGGCAAAGACTTCTGGCCACTTGGTGAAGTAATCCATCACAACCATGAAATACTTGTTACCACTTTCACTTTCCGGAAACGGCCCCGCAACGTCAATGGCTATCCTCTCCCATGGTGCACCAATATTGTACAATTTCAATGCGCCTCTACTACGAATTTGAGGTCCCGTTACAGCCGCACAACTTGTACATTTGCGGCACCAGTCCTCGACATCGTCACGACAGTGTACCCAGTAAAACCGTTCTCGGATCTTCAGTAGAGTTCGTTCTCTTGAACGAACAACCACTATGGTACAGCTGTAGAACATCCGGTACTTTAGCCTTAGGGACAACCATTTGCAAATGACAATCCTGATTCAGCAAGCTGTTCCATCGGGCCAAATAGCTTTTCGTGGTCGAACTCATCGTTGAGACGCCGCTCCACGTGGGCTTAGGAGCACTGGGCTTCATCCATTTCAGAATCGGCTTGATGTCCGAATCTTTCTACTGTGCATGTTATAGGCTGTCCTTCCACTTATTGCTGAGCTGGTCTGTACTGAGCATCCTCACAGATACCACTTCCTTACCCTCTTGCCTAATACAATGCTTGCAATCTTCAGGGCAAGATCTTCTTGACTATGCATCTGCATTGCCATGAGATTTCCCGCTGTACTGGGTGGTGCTGTTAGCCGCTCTACCTCTCTAGATCTACTACTCTCGAGATCGATCACCTTCCCTTTCTACAGTTCGCTTAGGGCAGCTGGATCGAAGATGGCCCCTTTCCCCACAGCCGTAGCATCTATGGTTGTATCCTTTATTGCGGTCGCGAACTGTAGCTGCTGCAACCTCCCTGACGCGATGGGAACGATGATCCTGCCGCACGGCTTCCACCTCCAGTGCACGGGTCAAGGTGTCCTTAAGCGTCTCGTGGTGCCCGAGCCTCACAGCAGCTCTGACTTCAAGGTCGCGAATGCCGTCGATGAATGTCTGCACCAGGTTCCCTACAATGAGCGCAGGTACAGACTGGTATGCTTTTCGAACCAGCTTTTCCATCTCAAGGGCCCACTGCTGCAGGTTTTCATTACTGCGTTGCACGCGATCTTTGAGCTGCGCACGAAAGACGTGTTCCAGGTGAGCGTTGCCATATCTCGCCTCCAATGTCTCAAGGAGCTGCTCGTAAGTCACTTAGCTTCAGCTCTCGGTAAAGCTTCCAGTACAGTTAAGGCCTGGTCGCGCAGGCCTAGGGTGAGAGTAGTCATGGCCTGACTTTTATTCCAGCCGTTCGCCTTCATGACAGCCTCGAATTGGATTTTGTAGGTCGACCAGGAAGAAATCCCGTCGTACGGTGGCACTTTGAATCCGCGTAGCGAAGGTGTTGTAGCTAACCACGGGAGCTGTAACTCCATCCCCAAGTTTGAGGTCGTCCAGCGTTTTCTTCACGTCGGCCATCACGTTGTCAACCCGATTGTACACTTGGTCGATTCGTGTTTCAGCTTCCGATAGGCGGTTGTCATATTAAGCAACCCCATCCTTCACCTCCCTTATCTCTTTCCCGAAGGTAGCGTTAAGGTCCTTCACGTGGAGCATCTGCTCTTTCTTATCGCGTTTGAGCTGCTCTTCCAAACAACGGGCCCGTTCCTCCTGTTCGCGCTGCAGCTGCTCTTACAACCTACGGGCCTGTTCCTCCTGTTGGCGGGACTGTTCCTCCTGTCCGCGCTGCAGCTTCTCTTCCAACCGAAGGGCCTGTTCCTCCTGTCGGCGGGCCTGTTCCTCCTGTCGGCGGGCCTGTTCCTCCTGTCGGCGGGCCTGTTCCTCCTGTCGGCGTGCCTGCTCCTGCAGCATCATCATCAGAGCACTTTGCTGCAGATACAGGAGCGGCTGACGGGCCGGCTTTCGTGGTCAGCAGTTGGTCCTCCGACGTTTGCAGCGTTGCATTACCAAATCGTCTATGGTCTGTCTCCAGCTGGCATTAACTTCGGGTACGGATACCCTCCGCCCTTTGGTAAAATCGGCATGATTTGATCCCACTTCTGACACTAATTGTTACGAGCTTGGGGTTCGAGACAATTAAAAACTGCCGATTGAATTACCAAAATTGACACTTTAATTACAGAACACTAATTACAATTTAAAACCACACTAATAATAAAACACAATTGTACTACTGATCACTTTAGTTCGCAGTTACTTCGCTTTGCAGTATTTGCTTATATCGCCAATTCAATACTGACTCGGCCGTGGTCTATACCGGCCTTATATAGGGCCTCAGATAGTTTCCAGAACCTTCTACTGTAGAAACATCTAGAATGTTCGAGTACATATCGATCCCGAAATTTCTAGAAGGATCTTGACTCTCCTAGTGCTGCTACTCGACACTAGAGAGCGCTAGTGGTAACTATTGTTGCCATGTACAAGACATTAATAGTGGCGCGCAACAATAATATTAATGGTCTGTATGCAAAGAAATTTTATTTAAAATCATTACAAATACGTGAAGTCCTGCTAATTCTAACCTCACTTTTGTAGAGATTGACATTATCGATAATATCTTATCGATTGCCTTGCATGCAGTCTTATTCAATTTCGTAATATTTTTTAGGTTTCCGTAGTCCGTCCTAAATAGTCTTATTATCATATGATTTTTTTTAATGGAATTAGGGTGACAAATAAGCACACAGTCCACCTGATAAGTATGTATGTTTCCAAAAGAAAATTTTCGACTATGCTGCAATTACTTTGAAGAAAAATGTTTTTCTCATAGCACAAAGGGAAACACTACAACACTTCCAACCATAAATACTTATTAACAAAATTACCTATTGAAACTTATTTTATTATAAGAATAAAGTCTCTATGTAGTAAAATTGCAAAATATCTTTAAGGAGAGCTCACAACATATATTTGCAATAAATTAGTTCTCTTTGAAGGATTATATAACTTTTGTTTGTACTTATCTTTTTATCCCACAACACATGATAAAAACTTTAAAATTGAGCCCCAACTACTTTTAAGGATATTATTTTAGTAATAACGTGTGACTACGTCTACAAACAAACTCATTTTTATTATTAACTAGCTGTTCTCCGCGACTTATTATTATTACGATTGGATTTCATGACTTAATTTTTTGTGCGGAACCTTATTTTTTTTTCTAAAATAAATAGCCTAAATACTACTTCTTATAACATCAGCTATCTGCCAGTGAAAGTCCGGTTAAAATCGGTCCAGCCGTTTCGGAGATTATCCGGAACAAACAGACAGACAGACAAAATTTTAAAAATCGTGTTTTTGTTATAAGTACCGTATATATTTACATATGCGTATAGTAAAAAGCTGTTATTTCGACATTACAAACAGCATTCTATCTTAGTCCTCATGGCTGACAACGCATCTGCATTTTAATTCACAAAACAAGATAGATTCTATGGGTCACAGCAACTTACCATCAGGTAGAATGTGTGCTCGTTTGTCACCCTATCCTATAAAAAAAAGACACTTCAATTTTATTTCATCATCATCATCATCATTACAGCCCTTCACAAGTCCACTGCTGAACATAGGCCTCCCCCAAAGAATGCCACAAAGCACGGTCCTGAGCCACCTGCATCCATCGACTTCCTGCATGTCTTACCAGGTCGTCACTCCATCTCGTGGGGGGACGCCCTACACTTCGCCTACCGGTACGAGGCTGCCACTCGAGAACCTTTCTTCCCCAACGGTTGTCGGTTCTTCGAGCTATATGGCCGGCCCACTGCCACTTCAGCTTACTAATTCGTTGGGCTATGTCGGTTATTCTGGTTCTACTGCGGATATCCTCATTCCTAAGTTTATCACGCAGAGAAACTCCGAGCATAGCCCTCTCCATAGCTCGCTGAGCGACCTTGAGCTTCCTCATACGGCCAGCAGTGAAGGACCACGTCTCAGTTCCGTAAGTAATCACTGGCAACACGCACTGGTTGTACAATTTCGTTTTAAGGTTTTGAGGTATGTCTGACGAGAAGATGTGTCGTAGCTTCCCGAACGCTGCCCAGCCGAGTTGAATCCGTCGATTGACCTCTCGGTCGAAGTTGGACTTACCTAGTCGGACTATTTGTCCCAGGTAAACATACTCGTCAACAACTTCGAGCTTAGTGCTCCCAACAACTACCGGCATAGGTGTGACATGGACATTAAACATAATCTTTGTTTTGTCCATGTTCATCTTAAGACCTATCCGTTGGGAAACACTATTGAGGTCATTGAGCATAGTGCTTAGGCCCTCCAGCGATTCTGCCATAAGGACTATATCGTCGGCAAATCGAAGGTGAGTGATGTACTCGCCATTGATGTTGATACCGTATCCTTTCCAGTCCAGAAGCTTGAAAACGTCTTCCAATGCAGCGGTGAAGAGTTTCGGGGATATGACGTCACCCTGTCTTACACCTCTCTGCAATTGGATAGGTTTCGTACTCTGGTTCTGTACTCGGATAGCCATCGTAGCCCTACTGTACAAGCACTTCAACACTTCGATATACCGACAGTCAACTTGGCACCGCTGAAGGGACTGCAGCACCGCCCAAATTTCGACGGAATCAAAGGCTTTCTCATAGTCCACATACGCCAGACATAGTGGCAAATTGTACTCTTCGGACTTCTGTACAACTTGCCGAAGGGTATGTATGTGGTCTATGGTGCTAAAGCCCTTTCGGAAACCGGCTTGTTCGGGAGGCTGGAAGTCGTCAAGTCTGCGCGCGAGACGATTCGTAATGACTCTCGAAAACAGCACGTAGACGCGGCTCAGAAGGGAAATCGGTCTGTAGTTCTTCAAGAGAGCGTTGTCACCTTTCTTGAAGAACAAGACCACCGCACTTCTGCTCCACGCCTCCGGTGTAATGCCACCATGGAGGACGGAATTAAAGAGCTTCTGAAGGACTTCAAGTACCGGTCTTCCACCCGCTTTCAGAAGCTCCGCTGTAATTCCATCCTCGCCTAATTTTATTTATTTGTATAGATTATAGAGGGTCTGAATGTTTCGCAATATTCTAAAAAAATTTACATCATAGTCTTGTTATTGACTATTAATTTTTATTATACACATCATAACACGCAAATTATTTTCTTAAGAACAGCGTATCTTTCAGCGACTTTATATTAACAAGATTTGAAGTTTATGTAAGAACTTAGTGGTAGGACTCTACTTGTGCCTGGCAGTTCGTATGGGTTGGTATCACCCTCTTACCAAGTACCGGTATAAATACAGGCTATGAGGCAATCCATCTCAGTCTTTAGAGTTAATAACGACGTAGCCCTCTTTGTTTGAAGTTAGCTGGAAGTGTACATGTGCTGCAGTAGCCGATAATCATTATGAGGTGGACTGTAAGTTCGTTGGTAGTTCGTAGTCGTGAGTAATAAATACTAATAAATGTAGGTAACATTATTATAACATGTATTTTCGGTACATCGAGAATATTCTGAATTATTAAACACCAGATACGATATTATTACGATATTTTAATAATATCGTATCTGATGTTTAATATAAAATATATCTAATTTGTCAAAATACGATGAGTACATAGACTTCTCAAATCGTGACCATCCTTTTGGCTTCGCCGTAGTCGGGTGAAAATATTCACTTACTTCACCTGCGTCATATCAAAAGACACGAATATACTGTAATCGGTATATCGATAATTGAACTTGAGGCAGGCAATTCATGGTGTAACACTAGTTGTCTCCCACACTTGCATATTTCACGCACACTGGTGTCTTTTGATTTTGGTTTCGCCCTTATCACTCATCGCCAATCTAGTATATTATACTATGTCTATGGTTATATATCACGTATAACGGACGGTAAAAAAAGTATGTAATGGTAGTTGTTATAGTATAATTATTTATTTATTTCTTGGAATTTTGTGTTAGAATATAGTACAAAGTTAACTAATTGGTAACACGTAGACGTTCGTATTCTGTTTGCGAATTAATGCAGCGGTGATTGAATGACGTTGCGTGTTTTCACACGTCAATTTGTTTTTTTTTGTTTCAATAATTTCTTATAGTATCTTTTTACATAATATGTTACGTTGCGCGACACATTTAATTTTTAGTTAAGTCTCGTCAGTTATGTTCGAGGGGAGTTATGACCGATGAATACTGACAACTCGCTAATTATGTGTATCGTGTGATCGTGTGCGTTATTATATTGTCGTTGGGTGTGTTTGTGCGCAGGGTGCTGAGCGAGCACGTGCGGCGTCTGGGCGCGTGCACGAGCGCGCTGCGAGCCGGCGTCGCGCCGCGCCACGCCTGGGCCGCGCCCTTCCCGCACGCACAGATGCAGCTGCGGCACCTGCCCGTCTACCGCACGCCCCGCGACAAGGTGCCGCACACACACACGCACACCAACACACGCCGCGCCACGCCTGGGCCGCGCCCTTCCCGCACGCACAGATGCAGCTGCGGCACCTGCCCGTCTACCGCACGCCCCGCGACAAGGTGCCGCACACACACACGCACACCAACACACGCCGCGCCACGCCTGGGCCGCGCCCTTCCCGCACGCACAGATGCAGCTGCGGCACCTGCCCGTCTACCGCACGCCCCGCGACAAGGTGCCGCACACACACACGCACACCAACACACGCCGCGCCACGCCTGGGCCGCGCCCTTCCCGCACGCACAGATGCAGCTGCGGCACCTGCCCGTCTACCGCACGCCCCGCGACAAGGTGCCGCACACACACACGCACACCAACACACGCCGCGCCACGCCTGGGCCGCGCCCTTCCCGCACGCACAGATGCAGCTGCGGCACCTGCCCGTCTACCGCACGCCCCCGACAAGGTGCCGCACACACACACGCACACCAACACACGCCGCGCCACGCCTGGGCCGCGCCCTTCCCGCACGCACAGATGCAGCTGCGGCACCTGCCCGTCTACCGCACGCCCCGCGACAAGGTGCCGCACACACACACGCACACCAACACACGCCGCGCCACGCCTGGGCCGCGCCCTTCCCGCACGCACAGATGCAGCTGCGGCACCTGCCCGTCTACCGCACGCCCCGCGACAAGGTGCCGCACACACACACGCACACCAACACACGCCGCGCCACGCCTGGGCCGCGCCCTTCCCGCACGCACAGATGCAGCTGCGGCACCTGCCCGTCTACCGCACGCCCCGCGACAAGGTGCCGCACACACACACGCACACCAACACACGCCGCGCCACGCCTGGGCCGCGCCCTTCCCGCACGCACAGATGCAGCTGCGGCACCTGCCCGTCTACCGCACGCCCCGCGACAAGGTGCCGCACACACACACGCACACCAACACACGCCGCGCCACGCCTGGGCCGCGCCCTTCCCGCACGCACAGATGCAGCTGCGGCACCTGCCCGTCTACCGCACGCCCCGCGATAAGGTGCCGCACACACACACGCACACCAACACACGCCGCGCCACGCCTGGGCCGCGCCCTTCCCGCACGCACAGATGCAGCTGCGGCACCTGCCCGTCTACCGCACGCCCCGCGACAAGGTGCCGCACACACACACGCACACCAACACACGCCGCGCCACGCCTGGGCCGCGCCCTTCCCGCACGCACAAATGCAGCTGCGGCACCTGCCCGTCTACCGCACGCCCCGCGATAAGGTGCCGCACACACACACGCACACCAACACACGCCGCGCCACGCCTGGGCCGCGCCCTTCCCGCACGCACAGATGCAGCTGCGGCACCTGCCCGTCTACCGCACGCCCCGCGACAAGGTGCCGCACACACACACGCACACCAACACACGCCGCGCCACGCCTGGGCCGCGCCCTTCCCGCACGCACAGATGCAGCTGCGGCACCTGCCCGTCTACCGCACGCCCCGCGATAAGGTGCCGCACACACACACGCACACCAACACACGCCGCGCCACGCCTGGGCCGCGCCCTTCCCGCACGCACAGATGCAGCTGCGGCACCTGCCCGTCTACCGCACGCCCCGCGACAAGGTGCCGCACACACACACGCACACCAACACACGCCGCGCCACGCCTGGGCCGCGCCCTTCCCGCACGCACAGATGCAGCTGCGGCACCTGCCCGTCTACCGCACGCCCCGCGACAAGGTGCCGCACACACACACGCACACCAACACACGCCGCGCCACGCCTGGGCCGCGCCCTTCCCGCACGCACAGATGCAGCTGCGGCACCTGCCCGTCTACCGCACGCCCCGCGATAAGGTGCCGCACACACACACGCACACCAACACACGCCGCGCCACGCCTGGGCCGCGCCCTTCCCGCACGCACAGATGCAGCTGCGGCACCTGCCCGTCTACCGCACGCCCCGCGATAAGGTGCCGCACACACACACGCACACCAACACACGCCGCGCCACGCCTGGGCCGCGCCCTTCCCGCACGCACAGATGCAGCTGCGGCACCTGCCCGTCTACCGCACGCCCCGCGACAAGGTGCCGCACACACACACGCACACCAACACACGCCGCGCCACGCCTGGGCCGCGCCCTTCCCGCACGCACAGATGCAGCTGCGGCACCTGCCCGTCTACCGCACGCCCCGCGATAAGGTGCCGCACACACACACGCACACCAACACACGCCGCGCCACGCCTGGGCCGCGCCCTTCCCGCACGCACAGATGCAGCTGCGGCACCTGCCCGTCTACCGCACGCCCCGCGACAAGGTGCCGCACACACACACGCACACCAACACACGCCGCGCCACGCCTGGGCCGCGCCCTTCCCGCACGCACAGATGCAGCTGCGGCACCTGCCCGTCTACCGCACGCCCCGCGATAAGGTGCCGCACACACACACGCACACCAACACACGCCGCGCCACGCCTGGGCCGCGCCCTTCCCGCACGCACAGATGCAGCTGCGGCACCTGCCCGTCTACCGCACGCCCCGCGACAAGGTGCCGCACACACACACGCACACCAACACACGCCGCGCCACGCCTGGGCCGCGCCCTTCCCGCACGCACAGATGCAGCTGCGGCACCTGCCCGTCTACCGCACGCCCCGCGACAAGGTGCCGCACACACACACGCACACCAACACACGCCGCGCCACGCCTGGGCCGCGCCCTTCCCGCACGCACAGATGCAGCTGCGGCACCTGCCCGTCTACCGCACGCCCCGCGATAAGGTGCCGCACACACACACGCACACCAACACACGCCGCGCCACGCCTGGGTGGGGCCGAAGGGCGGGCCGCCCTTCCGCACGCACAGATGCAGCTGCGGCACCTGCCCGTCTACCGCACGCCCCGCGAAAGGTGCCGCACACACACACGCACACCAACACACGCCGCGCCACGCCTGGGCCGCGCCCTTCCCGCACGCACAGATGCAGCTGCGGCACCTGCCCGTCTACCGCACGCCCCGCGACAAGGTGCCGCACACACACACGCACACCAACACACGCCGCGCCACGCCTGGGCCGCGCCCTTCCCGCACGCACAGATGCAGCTGCGGCACCTGCCCGTCTACCGCACGCCCCGCGATAAGGTGCCGCACACACACACGCACACCAACACACGCCGCGCCACGCCTGGGCCGCGCCCTTCCCGCACGCACAGATGCAGCTGCGGCACCTGCCCGTCTACCGCACGCCCCGCGATAAGGTGCCGCACACACACACGCACACCAACACACGCCGCGCCACGCCTGGGCCGCGCCCTTCCCGCACGCACAGATGCAGCTGCGGCACCTGCCCGTCTACCGCACGCCCCGCGACAAGGTGCCGCACACACACACGCACACCAACACACGCCGCGCCACGCCTGGGCCGCGCCCCTTCCCGCACGCACAGATGCAGCTGCGGCACCTGCCCGTCTACCGCACGCCCCGCGATAAGGTGCCGCACACACACACGCACACCAACACACGCCGCGCCACGCCTGGGCCGCGCCCTTCCCGCACGCACAGATGCAGCTGCGGCACCTGCCCGTCTACCGCACGCCCCGCGATAAGGTGCCGCACACACACACGCACACCAACACACGCCGCGCCACGCCTGGGCCGCGCCCTTCCCGCACGCACAGATGCAGCTGCGGCACCTGCCCGTCTACCGCACGCCCCGCGACTAAGGTGCCGCACACACACACGCACACCAACACACGCCGCGCCACGCCTGGGCCGCGCCCTTCCCGCACGCACAGATGCAGCTGCGGCACCTGCCCGTCTACCGCACGCCCCGCGATAAGGTGCCGCACACACACACGCACACCAACACACGCCGCGCCACGCCTGGGCCGCGCCCTTCCCGCACGCACAGATGCAGCTGCGGCACCTGCCCGTCTACCGCACGCCCCGCGACAAGGTGCCGCACACACACACGCACACCAACACACGCCGCGCCACGCCTGGGCCGCGCCCTTCCCGCACGCACAGATGCAGCTGCGGCACCTGCCCGTCTACCGCACGCCCCGCGATAAGGTGCCGCACACACACACGCACACCAACACACGCCGCGCCACGCCTGGGCCGCGCCCTTCCCGCACGCACAGATGCAGCTGCGGCACCTGCCCGTCTACCGCACGCCCCGCGATAAGGTGCCGCACACACACGCACACCAACACACGCCGCGCCACGCCTGGGCCGCGCCCTTCCCCGCACGCACAGATGCAGCTGCGGCACCTGCCCGTCTACCGCACGCCCCGCGATAAGGTGCCGCACACACACACGCACACCAACACACGCCGCGCCACGCCTGGGCCGCGCCCTTCCCGCACGCACAGATTGCAGCTGCGGCACCTGCCCGTCTACCGCACGCCCCGCGATAAGGTGCCGCACACACACACGCACACCAACACACGCCGCGCCACGCCTGGGCCTCGCCCTTCCCGCACGCACAGATGCAGCTGCGGCACCTGCCCGTCTACCGCACGCCCCGCGATAAGGTGCCGCACACACACACGCACACCAACACACGCCGCGCCACGCCTGGGCCGCGCCCTTCCCGCACGCACAGATGCAGCTGCGGCACCTGCCCGTCTACCGCACGCCCCGCGATAAGGTGCCGCACACACACACACGCACACAACACACGCCGCGCCACGCCTGGGCCGCGCCCTTCCCGCACGCACAGATGCAGCTGCGGCACCTGCCCGTCTACCGCACGCCCCGCGATAAGGTGCCGCACACACACACACGCACACCAACACACGCCGCGCCACGCCTGGGCCGCGCCCTTCCCGTACGCACAGATGCAGCTGCGCACCTGCCCGTCTACCGCACGCCCCACGATAAGGTGCCGCACACACACACGCACACCAACACACGCCGCGCCACGCCTGGGCCGCGCCCTTCCCGCACGCACAGATGCAGCTGCGGCACCTGCCCGTCTACCGCACGCCCCGCGACAAGGTGCCGCACACACACACGCACACCAACACACGCCGCGCCACGCCTGGGCCGCGCCCTTCCCGCACGCACAGATGCAGCTGCGGCACCTGCCGTCTACCGCACGCCCCGCGATAAGGTGCCGCACACACACACGCACACCAACACACGCCGCGCCACGCCTGGGCCGCGCCCTTCCCGCACGCACAGATGCAGCTGCGGCACCTGCCCGTCTACCGCACGCTCCGCGACAAGGTGCCGCACACACACACGCACACCAACACACGCCGCGCCACGCCTGGGCCGCGCCCTTCCCGCACGCACAGATGCAGCTGCGGCACCTGCCCGTTCTACCGCACGCCCCGCGATAAGGTGCCGCACACACACACGCACACCAACACACGCCGCGCCACGCCTGGGCCGCGCCCTTCCCGCACGCACAGATGCAGCTGCGGCACCTGCCCGTCTACCGCACGCCCCGCGATAAGGTGCCGCACACACACACGCACACCAACACACGCCACGCCACGCCTGGGCCGCGCCCTTCCCGCACGCACAGATGCAGCCTGCGGCACCCTGCCCGTCTACCGCACGCCCCGCGACAAGGTGCCGCACACGCACACACGCACACCGACACACGCCGCGCCTCGACTGGGCCAACACTCAACTGCCCACATACGCTCACAAACGCACCACTCACACACGAACACTCTCACACACATACACACACGCACACGCACACCAACACACGCACACCCACACACGCCGCTTTTCCTATTTTCTTTGTAAATACTCAATCACTCAACTTTTTAACTTACTGGAAATAAGAGGAGATTTTATTTCGACTGTATTTTGTTTTGTATGTATGTTCACGCCCTTAGCTGCCCCGGCATTTCGTACGATATTAACAGGCCACACAAGCAAATTAAATGTTTCAATGCGCTTCAAAATGCAATCACTCACGAGTCTAGCGAAAAAACTACAATAGTAAATTCCACACGCATCAAAGACCGGACGTTGATCGCAATCAATATTAACTTCCAAAACAATTAACCGACCCGGCGTCTGCGCAGACAATCTATTTTTCTAGACTCAACAAAACTCGTCGTTGCATAAACTTGCTAACAAAAACCGACACTATTTAGAGGTTATATGGTACGCGACCACGCTGTTCTAGTAACTGCACTGCATTGTGTCGACTTCCGACGCGCCACACCCAAAACCAACTCCCGCCTCGCGTGAACGTCAAACCGGTACGAATGCACCGCGCCGAGCGCCCTCTAGCGTCAATTCTTAAAATTAGCGTTTGGCGCGAACAATGTATGTTACGCGATATCTTTGCCGATTTTAATAATATCTCAAGCCCATTACTCTAATACCCATTTATTTTTGAAAAGAAAATTGGATCCCGAAGATTGTAAAAATAGAGCACGAATTATTAATCTAACTATTTACACGACGTTCTAATTATCATTTTAAACGTGTGTTATTGTTTAGTCCACTCGAATGTGTCAAATAATAAGACTTTAAAAGAAGTAGAAATTGAATCTTTAGCTTTTTCATCGGTTTTTACTTTTTTTTTAAGTTTAGTTATTATTTGTATTAATTTGCAGCTGTCTTGCATAATGCGGTGCGTGTCGTCCATAATGTCGGTGCTCGCGCTGACGGACGGCAGTGCGCCCTCCGCGGATGACCTCACGCCCGTGCTCGTCTACGTTATACTAAAGGTCAGGATCTTTATTTCGATTTCGATGTATTGATTTCATGAGACTACTAACTAGTATGCTCAAGTTCTTGACTCGCACTTAAACATACGTCTTTCTTCTTTCTTTTATTATTAGCCGGTATTTGAACTTGACTTCACTGCTACACGCACACTTTCGCACCTAATACCATGTTACTAGTTGGAAATGATTTTAGATTCATATGTGTACGTGAGTGCGTGTTTTACAATAAGTTAATCATGGTTTTGGTTTAGTTTTTGCGAGGCTAACAATTGATTTCAAAAGTAAATTAAAGCTATAGCCTAAAAAATATACGTCCCACTGCTGGGCATAGGTATCTTATTTCTAAGAGAGTTTTAGGCCAAGGAAGTGTCTGTTGCGCTGTCCCAGTAATGTCTTCAAAATATTTATTTTTATTTTTCAGACATGTAAATTTCCTCACTATATCCTTCACCGCCAAGCACATGGTAAATCAGCACTTAAAATTGTAACTAACAATTTCATTGCTACCGACGGGGATCGAACTTGGTTATATCGCATATTGTGAAATTTTCATCGAGCGCTTAGCTCCTGAGGTACCCCGGCTCTCAATTTGTTTTTTTTTTCTAAACGCTATCGTTATATTAGGTTGTTATTTTCTATTGTGGAGGTAGTTTACATACAAACAATTCACATCCACAAACACCCAAACCCGGAATAATTATTCGTAGGCGATACAAATACTTGGCCCGTGCGGGATTTGAGCCCGCAGCCATCAGTGCCGTATCTCATTGCTAAGCCAAGCCATATCCGCCACAGGGCCGTCGATCGAATTTTATCGATAAAATCTTATATCGGCCTAGCCTCAACACTATCGCAGCTTTTTAGTAGTCTTATTGACAGATAAACCTTAATGTAACGAAATAAGGTTAAATATTCGTTGTAATTAAGGCCATTTGATATTTTGTCCTTGTGTATGTATATTCACATTTCTTCACAAAAATGAATAAAATTACACGTACCTGTGGTACGAAACACCTCCATTAGATAGATTTTTCTTTCTTTTTTCATTTTCACATTCCAATATTGCACATATTATATAAATTAAGCAGCGACCCTCAGTCAGTCAGCTCGCGAAAATTTAAACGAAATTATATTTGATTTTTGTTTTAAACTCCTAAAGTGTATATTTAATCTGTATAGGTTGTGTGTGGTGTGTGAGAGTTAGTTGTGTTTGGTGTGCAGGTGAACCCGCCGTCGCTGCTGTCGACCATCGAGCTGGTGAACGCGCTGGGCGGCGCGGCGCTGTGCGGCGAGGCGCTGTACTGGTGGACGCAGTTCTGCGCCGCCGTCGCCTACATCAAGACCATGGACTACCCCTCGGACTCCTAGCGCCACCACTCGCGCACGGTAACACACTTACAATTCGCTCAAGATAACAATAAGGATCTCATGATCTTATTGAATTGTTATCCTTAGGATCATTGTGACTCCTAACATCGTAACTTTAACTCGATGAAACGAAAGCGCGACACTAAAAAGAAACAAATATATACATCTACGGGATTTACCTTGAGTGAGATATGATACAGGTATACAGTGTTAATTATAAATTAATATAATATATTTTAATTACATACATAAACCCTACCATTATCATACACTTGATACTCTGCATTCGTCTCATTCTCTCGTAGTTTAGTTTTCTGAAGGTTTCACTTCTACCGCGTGTGATTTGCACGCGTTTTTTTATACTATAAAGGTGATATAATATTATACCGGTTACCGTGTAGTGGCCGTGTAAAAATATACACTAGCCCATATCGTCCCGTGGGTGAAAATGAAACAGGAGATGCAGCATCTTCTGGCAACAACTCAGAATAATAAAAAAACTGCTGTTGTCAACCCAAGGAGCAAATACAAAGAGGAGGTGTTGTAATTAGACTTCACTATGTAACAATACGTGACAATTTGCGGGATAAAGGGGTGTTAAGCCCCGCCCACTTAACTATTTTCCATCTACCGATAAATAGTAAAACTACTCGCATAGTTCCATATCGATGTTGCAATGTAATTTAGCTACCTTGACGATAGATAGCGGCCTGTTCACAAAATGATTATAATAACTAAAAAAATAATATTTTGGCGATTAGAAATTCTTTAGGACTGAATGCAAAACAAATTTCAGCACCCTCGTATGATTATTTTATCAATACTGAGCTTTACGTACCTTATTTTTAGTTCTTATGACACAAAGTGTCGCCATCTAGTGTGGAATATATTTAATTATATTTGAGATCTTCTAGAACTATTTTAATAAATTAGGTATAAAATAACTTGCAAATGAAATGTGATGCCATCCATAGCATCAGTAGTCTTTACACGATAAAACACAACACTTCATCCTTTTCTTTTTAATACTACGAAAATACACCGATTTGCGATTTTCGACACATAAGCGCACAGGACGAACGCTGACAGTATACTAACTAAAGCCACGCCCACCGTGATGACGTCAGGCCCTAGTTAGAATCGCAGTGCACAGTTGCTTAGGCCGTCTCCTCTTTATATTTGTTTCGTGTGCCAACCCGCTTGCCAAGCGTGGCAAATATTACAAAATGACGCAATCTATGACGGGGACCTATGTTCAGCTGTGGACTTCTATGATAATATTTATTTTGACCTAGTAGCTCTACGTCTACGTCCTTACTGATCAAATTGAGTACGATCTCCGATGCTAACTAAAATCACAAAAATTGTCTTATTTTACATTTAAGTCATAAATATCCATCGTAGATCCACCAAGGATATACCATGCAGGTTTGAGAACCAGAGAAATTAAAATTTGACGTGGTAGAGTTACGCAGCAGCTAAATTATGTTTATAAATAAATAATTGTTGTAATAAATATTATCATAAAAGTCCACTGCTGAACATAGGGCTCTGTCATAGATTGTCTCATAGGGTGGATTTTGTAATAGTTGCCACGCTTGGCAAGCGGGTTTGCAACGGCAGTTTTTTATTATTTTGAGTTGTTGTCAAAAGATGCGGTTTTCCCTATATCGCTCTTATGACACCCACGGAACGGTTTGGGATAGTGGAAGTTCTTAAGCCGAATTTACATTTGTCTGACGTGTTGTGTTGTGACACATCAGAATAGTATCGGTTTCATACGTTTAGTATGGTAATATTGTTACGCGCCACTATTAATGTCTTGTATATGGCAACACTATTTCCCACTAGCGCCCTCTAGTGTCGAATAGCAGAACTAGGAGAGTCAAGATCCTTCTAGAAATTTCGGGACCGATATGTACTCGAACATTCTAGATGTCGCTACAGTAGAAGGTTCTGGAAACTATCTGAGGCCCTATATAAGGTCGGTATAGACCACGACCGGGTCAGTATTGAATTGGGCGATATAAGCGAATACTTCGAAGTGATATAACTGCAACTAAAGTGATCAGTAGTTGTACACTATTGAGGTCATTGAAATTGTGTTTATTATTAGTGTGGTTTTAAATTGTAATTAGTGATCTGTAATTAAAGTGTCAATTTTAGTAATAAATCGGCAGTTTTTAATTGTCACGAAGCCCAAGCTCGTAACAATATTTATATTTGCGTATCATGATGTGTTGAGATAGCTTCTGATGCGACGCATCAAAAGAGATTCCGATGGCATCGAGGCGGTGAAGGTGGGGGGAGCGGGGAAGCGGGGAGTGACGACACATCAGACAAGTTGTCTGACGTGTCGTCAGGCGGCCTCTCCCTCCCTGGCGTTGGCACACCACAGGCTGTCCCAGACAAGTGTGCCAGCGCCAGTGTTATTTTGTGACGCGTCACAACCACGTGTATCTTTGCCTCGATATAAAATATCATCATTACAGCCCTTCACAAGTCCACTGCTGAACATAGGCCTCCCTCAAAGAATGCCACAAAGCACGGTCCTGAGCCGCCTGCATCCATCGAGTTCCTGCATATCTTACCAGGTCGTCACTCCATCTAGTGGGGGGACGCCCTACACTTCGTCCGCCGGTACGAGGCCGCCACTCGAGAACCTTTTTTCCCCAACGGTTGTCGGTTCTTCGAGCTATATGGCCGGCCCATTGCCACTTCAGCTTACTAATCTGTTGGGCTATGTCAGTCACTCTGGTTCTACTGCGGATATCCTCATTTCTAAGTTTATCACGCAGAGAAACTCCGAGCATAGCCCTCTCCGTAGCTCGCTGAGCGACCTTAAGCTTCCTCATCCGGCCAGCAGTGAAGGACCACGTCTCAGAACCGTAAGTCATCACTGGCAACACGCACTGGTTGTACAATTTCGTTTTCAGGTTTTGAGGTATACCTGACGAGAAGATGTGCCGTAATTTCCCGAACGCTGCCCAACCGAGTTGAATCCCCTGATTGACCTCTCGGTCGCAGTTGGACATACCTAGTCGGACTATTTGTCCCAGGTAAACATACTCGTCAACAACTTCGAGCTTAGTGTCCCCAACATCTACCGGCATAGGTGTGACATGGACATTAAACATGATCTTTGTATTGTCCATGTTCATCTTAAGACCTATCCGTTGGGAAACACTATTGCGGTCATTGAGCATAGTGCTTAGGTCCTCCAGCGATTCTGCCATAAGGACTATATCGTCGGCAAATCGAAGGTGAGTGATGTACTCGCCATTGATGTTGATACCGTATCCTTTCCAGTCCAGAAGCTTGAAAACGTCTTCCAATGCAGCGGTGAAGAGTTTCGGGGATATGACGTCACCCTGTCTTACACCTCTCTGCAATTGGATAGGTTTCGTACTCTGGTTCTGTACTCGGATAGCCATCGTAGCCCTACTGTACAAGCACTTCAACACTTCGATATACCGACAGTCAACTTGGCACCGCTGAAGGGACTGCAGCACCGCCCAAATTTCGACGGAATCAAAGGCTTTCTCATAGTCCACATACGCCAGACATAGTGGCAAATTGTACTCTTCGGACTTCTTTACAATTTGCGGAAGGGTATGTATGTGGTCTATGGTGCTAAAGCCTTTTCGGAAACCGACTTGTTCGGGAGGCTGGAAGTCGTCAAGTCTGCGCGCGAGACGATTCGTAATGACTCTCGAAAACTGCTGTTTTAGCCGCGTCTACGTGCTGTAGACGCGGCTCAGAAGGGAAATCGGTCTGTAGTTCTTCAAGAGAGCGTTGTCACCTTTCTTGTAGAATAAGACCACCGCACTTCTGCTCCACGCCTCCGGTGTAGTGCCACCATGGAGGACGGAATTAAAGAGCTTCTGAAGGACTTCAAGTACCGGTTTTCCACCCGCTTTCAGAAGCTCCGCTGTAATTCCATCCTCGCCTGGGGCCTTGCCGTTTTTAAGGTGCTGGAGAGCCATTCTAATCTCGCTCAGACTGACGTCCGAGATATCATTGGAATAGTGTCGGATAAGACTCGCTCTTGGATCGTTACTCACACTTACGTGTGTCTCCAACGATGATGTGTACAGCTGCCCATAGAACCTCTCAATCTCACTCAAAATCTCAGGTGTCCTGGAAACGACGCTGCCACACTCGGTCTTCAGCTTCGACAGTTGGCTCTTTCTGGCAGACCGATCTGACAAAGACTTTGGAGCCCTGGTTCCGCTTAAAGTTGCGTAAGTCCCGCCGCATGCATTTGAAGATCTGTCTGTTCAGTTGCCTGTATGCTGTCAAATCTACTGAAGGCTACAGCTTCATATCCCGTCTAACAGCCATGAGATTAAGAGTGTGATCGGAGAGTTTTTGTGTTCTTCTGCGGCGGGTCTTGCAAAACTTAGCTCCGACCGCATGGACAGTTTCCACGAGCTTGTCATTCATATCGTCCACTGCATTGCAATCTTCTAGGCACTGAAAACAGTTTTGTAGCTCGAGTTGAAAAGTTTCGGGACTTTGGATTAGAGCACGAGGGGGACGGAGCGGTGACTTCATTAGACGTGACCTCTCCAACTTAACGTTTAGGTTCAGTGTGCCTCTCATCATTCGGTGATCGCTGCCGGTTTTCACCCTCGCGATCACTGAGACATCACTAAACAGTTGTCGTTTGGTCATCATAATGAAGTCAATCTCATTTTTGTCGAACCGTAGGGGCTCGACCAGGTCCACTTCCTGTGGGGCCGCTTCTGGAAGAAAGAGTTCATCATAAAGAGTCCCTCTTTCTCCATGAAGTCAGCCAGCTGCTGGCCCCTTGGGTTCCGTTGCCCTATTCCAAATTTCCCTACTTTCAGCTCACCGTTCTCTCTTCTGCCTAGTTTTGCGGTGAAGTCTCCCATTAACACCGTATAATGGGTTTTGGAGGAATGCATGGCTTTAGAGATATCCTCATACATTTCCTCCACCTCCTCATCGGGGTGTGCCGAGGTTGGTGCCTAAAC